ACACTTCCATTTATCATAGTTGATAACGATTCTCAATGCAGTCTTTGTATGGAAATGTTGACTACCTGTAGAGAGTATATTATTGGTTTGATGATTCGAACCAAACAATCGGAAGCCAAATCCAAAGGAGATACTTTGAGACAATTAGAATTGGCAGCTTTGATGACGCATTGCAATATGCTGATTACTCATCAACAATTGGCATTACAAGCAGCTATGAAATTGGCATATGCCACTAAGAACTATCTTTATGCTTTGACTTTTGCGAAAAGGTTATTAGAATTGGCACCCAATGAAGAAATGGAAAGGACTGCCAAGAAAGTGATGCAGTTTTGTGAACGCAATCCAAACAATCAGAACCAATTGGACTATGATATAGAACAAAGCAACTTTGCAATCGACGCAGGTAGATTGAAGCCTTGTATGCAACCTCCAACTAAGAGTTGTGTATATTGTGGTGCTTGTTATGATGAAAGTTGGCATTCTATGACATGTGTGGTTTGTCAAGTAGCTCAAGTAATGGAGCAACAGGATGAAAATCGCAATGCGTATGCAGGATTGATATCTTTATTGCACAAGACACAACCCATATCCAACCATACAAAGGTTTAGATATCCAATACGATTCTCTCGACAGGCAATCCTTCAAATGCAATTCTATAAATGGTAACCATATGTGGAAATTCTTCCAATGCATTGTCTTTCTTTAAAGTCAAATAAACATCTTTAGCAGTGGTTGTTCCTTGTAACTTTTGTCCATTGAGTAATTCCTCTTCGAGCACATGCCATGGCTTTTTAGTTGTTATAAAAGCTTCCGCACATTTCCTATTTCTTCCACCATAACAAGTCGTAATCAAATCGGCCACTCCACAACTTTCCATAAAAGTTTCCAATTTCACGTTGGAATAATATTTCTTAGCAAAACGTTGCATTTCAATCAGTCCAATTCTCATCAAAGCCGATTTGGTATTATTACCCATTTCTAAAGCATCACAAAAGCCTGCGCCTAAAGCAATCACATTCTTCAAAGCACCGCAAACTTGAACACCTGGAACATCTTTTACGAGACCAACTCGAAACATATCATCATGAAAAAGTTCTTTCATCAATTCTCCATCTTCTTGGTTTTCATAACCGATGGTTGTTTCACAAAACTTTTCTGCCGCTATTTCATTCGCTATATTCGCACCACTTAAAGCACACATTGGAATATTCAGTTCACTTCTGCTGCTATTTCATTCGCTATATTCGCACCACTTAAAGCACACATTGGAATATTCAGTTCACTTTTGATAATATCTGTGATCAGCAGAGGACCAGATTCATTAAAGTCGATTCCTTTGATAAGACTGATTCCTCTACAGCGTTTAGAAATGGCTGATTTCATTTGTTTGCATAGATTGCGAATAAACTTGTTTTGAAATGAGCACAATGATGAAAAGTTTCCAGAAAAACTTACTTGATGGGGAACTACAAATACCAATACCGTAGCACCCTTTACTGCTTCCACTATGTCGGGTACTGCCACAATATTTTCTGGCAACTTGTAACCCGGTAAATATTTGATGTTTTCGTGTTGGGTGTTTATTATCTCCGTCAGTTTTTGACCATTCACTACTTCTTCGTATACCCACATATTGACTCGATCCTCGAAACGGGAACTTTTTCGAACATTTTTGCCAATCAACCTGGAAGCTGCTGAGCCCCAGTTACCGGAGCCTACTATAGCTACTCTTTCTTTTTGAATAGAAAAACTTTCAACAACAATTTATCTCAAAAATGAAAAAGTCAGAAACAACGGAAAAAAGGGAATCGACGGTTTTGGACCTCTGAGAACGTCATCGGTCAAGCGAATTTGGGAACCACATTACAACGGCGATCTATTCCACGTTGTCTCATTGCTTTCTAAAGGCTTTTCTATAACAGATTTACAAATATCTGCGAGTTGTTTGTCTTCATAGTTTTCTACTTGGATCATGGGATGTACGTGAATAGTGATAGGTTTGTTAGGAAAACCCACAGGTAACCAAGCAAAACTGGGCATCACTTCTCGAGTACCTAAAATTGTTAAAGGCACGATAGGCACTTGAGCTTGTTTTGCAGCTTTGAAAGGTCCTATTTTAAAAGGTAAAAGTCTGCCATGAACACTACGAGTGCCTTCTGGAAACATCACCAGTGATACACCTGATTGAAGCTTTCGTACTATTTCATGATAGGTTTGCAACTGGCGACGACTATCTCCACGTTTTAAACCCACATATCCGGCCAAAGCCATTGCCCAACCTTGAAACAGCGGTCTATTTCCTTTTTCAACATGAACTTTGAGACACTTACCGATGACAGGATAGGAAAAAACTTCAATTTTGGATACAAACTTGAACTTTCGTTTCAACGCAGATAAAACATAAATATCCAAATAACTCTGATGATTGGCAACATACATTACTACTTCATCCGATCGAGGTAAATTTTCTTCGCCTTGAATAACCACCTGTAGACGACAACAAAAAAGGGTTAAACGCATCCATAACATAGCAAACCGATCCAATAAACGACGGCGTACACGATCTAATAACAAAGTGACGGGAAATAACGCAGTAAAGACGGGAAAAAGAATCACTGCCCACAAGTAGGTCACGATTAGGAAGAATACACCGAATACACTGAATCGCTTCTTTTTTACTTCACTGGACTGTTTCATTGCTAAGTTAAACTTTTCACACCAAGGACGACTCGAGGTTGTACTTTTCAAAACAATTTTGTGAAGATAAGCCCTACGTAACGAAGGAAATGGTCCGCTGTAGAAAACAACTGGCTGTAAACAGATACGCGTGGACTGCTGCGTTGAAACATATACAGTAGAAACACTAGGAACACAAAGGCGACTGTAAAAAGAAAACAAAAAGCAAGGACTCATCTTGACGCTTTAAATCCTGCAGGCAACCATGATAAAGGAATCAAACGAACACATGTACTCTATAAAAATTGAAACAATTAACCAATCGTTCAAAGCTAAAATAAACTAGTTAAAACAACCTGAAAATGAAAAAAGACAAAAAATGCCAAGAATTGTGAATAGCAAGCAAATAAAAAGGATTTTAACAGAGTAAATGTCAAACAGTTAAATAAGCACATTACAAATTTAAACAGCGAAACTTCAATATTGAATATGGAAATAGATGAAACATAGCAAACTATCAATTTGAGATATAACAAAAAATTACATATAATTTTTTCAGGAAAACACTTTACAACTATCGTATACACAAAAACAGAAGAGCAGAAATTCATTTATAAATAAATAAATAGTTTTAAAAAATTTCGTCCAAAATGAGCAAAAAACGAGAATCTTATTCCAACGAATTGTTCCTGGAAAATACTTTCCGAAAATTGTCCGTTAAAACAATGAAAATCTTTGAGTAAAATTAAAGCTTTGTAACTGGCAACAACTTTTGATTCTATTCTTTTAATTTTATGCTTGAGTTAAATCTCTTTGGAGAAGCTTCTTTAAATGCCATAACAAAATGCGTCATTCTTTTTTTTTTAAACTTTTTTTAAAAATCCATCAATGAGCTTACTTTGCAAGCTTAATCTTTTATTAAAAGTTTGTTAGTTTGCAGCGGAATTTATTTTAGCTCTATAAATCTAAAAGAAAACCATTAAACACTTTTGTCTTCTTTGTTCAATCGCGAAACTTAATCTGATTATTTGAATTAAAATTGTTTGCGCTAACCAAATCTCTATTTGTGGCTGGAATTTCATTCCGTTGTAGATCTTTAATATTCATTTGATATTCCAGTGAACCATTTGTTTTTTATTTAATCGTTCGTTTTGACAAATTCTCGGTTATTATATGGGCTTTATTTGTCTACTTTCTCAAAAGAGTATCAAGTCAGAAAATTTTCTGTCGAGAAATGTTTTTTACTCAAAGTGTTCTGTAAAAGTCTCACGGTTTTTCTTGTTAAGACCAGCTTTTCTTCATAGAAGAACTTGGCGCTTTCTCGAGAATTTAGTTGGTCGATCCTTTGGAGCTAATCGTGTTCCACAGTGGGAACATTTCGACAAGTTGTATCTTCTTCGTCCCTCCACAGTTTTCAGTCGAACCCCGCTTGGTGTTATTCATTTTGTTGGTGGAGCTTTTGTAGGTTCTAGTTCTCAACTAGCATATCGTTCGCTCCTTGAGGGCCTTGTCCAGCTTGGCTATTTAGTAATTGTGACTCCTTATGACACAAGTTTTGACCATTTAGTTGCTGCGGAGTCAGTGAATAGTTCATTTGTAAGAGTAATGCGACAGTTACAGGAAGAGTATGGAATCGCGTTGCCTGTGGTTGGTCTATCTCATAGTCTGGGTTGCATTATTCAGATTCTTTCCAGTTGCTTGTTCCCTCACGTAGACGTTAATACGAAGGGACATATTTTTATGGCATACAACAACAAGCCGTTGAAGAAAGCGGTTCCTTTATATAAAGAGCTTCTTATTCCATCCATTCAGATGTTTTCCAGCTGGTCCATACCCAAGGAGGAAATGAATAGTACTTGGAAAAGAATATCTTCACTTTTTGAAGGTTTCATTGTATCGACTGGTGATTCTATCATGGAAAATATAGATTCCAAAACTTTGAAAGAACAGGTTTATTTCAACTGGCAACAGATCCAAAGAGCTTGGAAGCAGTTGGATCCATTGCTAGAGCAAATACAGAGTGGACGGGACGAGTTTCATCCTTCACCTTCTGATATAGAGAATATCATCATTCAAAAGTATTCCCATTCCAGTATCATTATTCGCTGTGAAGATGACTTGATAGATGAATCATTGCAACTTTATAGATTATTAAGAGGACGTGACTTATATATCAAATTGAGAAGTGTTCCTGGGACGCACCTAACACCCTTGGAACAGAACACTCAGGTTGTCGATAACTTTCTAAGGACCCATTTTCAAATTTCGAGCTCTTTTTCCCAAATGAGCAACTTGTATCGTTTGATAGAGGTGATTGGTGACTCTCTAGCAGAAATTATTTTCAAACAAGCTTCAACTAGAATAATATAGATAACCACAATGGGTGCGTGATAGATACAGTGGCACATCTAGCAATGTCTATTTTGAGATGATTCACAATCCAAATACGGTTGTGATTTGGTATTCTTTTTATTAGTAACCATATCATATTTTACATTCTACTTGTATATAGCTCGAGCAAAACTTATAAAGCCAACTATCTTAAGGTTCATTCACCCGTCTCCAGAGAATGCGAAGTAGCTGGTACCAACGTTTCTAAAGGCACACTCACTGTTGTCCGGAGTGATAGAGCTGCGTCCACCTTATCAGGTGCAATTTTTTCCTCCCTTTTGAACTTTGCCTTTACCTGTTTTCGGTTTCTCTTTGGAAATAACTGGGCTACCAAAGAAAAGTCGGTTCCAAATTGTTGCAATCCTCGGTAAAACAGTTCCGTTTCTTCCTTTGTCCATCTCTCCGTCGTTGTTCTTTTGGAGTACGTAGCAGAATTGACTCTGTCAGGACCGTTCACCACTCGAACTACTTGTGACTCCACTTGAGTAGGAGCGTCTGTGGCTACAATTAACGAGTCCTCGTCAACCGTTATATTTCCCTCGTCATCAAACTTGAGTTGAGGAGCCATGGAAGAGCCTTTCTCCACTGTATTGGTGGATGATGAAGGTGGACTCCAACTCTCGTCTTGACCCATACTCGAGTTGTCGTCTTCTAGTTGCTCCCAACTTTTTCTTCTCTTCTTATTCCATTTTGATATAGTAGGTGTTAATTGTAGACCTGTTTTCTTTCTTTGTGTGATAAGTTCTGAAATCGTTTGCTTCCGAAGATCGTCTGGCATCTTGGACAATTCTAAATCCGTTTTTGTACCTCTCTCTCTCTCTCTGCATGTGAAAATGACTCTACAGAGAAATAGAATGAATATTCTCTTTCTCTCCAAAGTACATTCAAATAAAATATCTATTCATATCAATGACTATACCATTCTATCCAAAAGTATATAAAAAAACCTTTCCTCATGAATCGGATATTCTCTATCATGGCCTTCCTCCTCATTTGCGTTTCTTTCTTCTCCCGTTTTAAAGAAGAAATTCTTTTGAGAGAAATCATTCCATTGTTTTTCCATGCCTATTACTAGTGCAGAATATATTCTCACTTATTTTCCTATTCGAGGACGTGCTGAACACATCCGACTGTTACTGGAAGACTGTAAAATACCGTATCAACAAAACCTGATTGCAAACGAAGATTGGAAGCAACTCAAAGCTCAGGGTCCAGAAACCGGGGAGATTCCTTTTGCCCAACTTCCTGTGTTGCAACATGACAAGCTGTACTTGGCACAAAGTGGTGCTATAGCTAGATATATAGCACGTAGACATAAAAAGTATGGCCAAAATGAGATGGAAATGAGCTTGGCAGATATGATGTACGACACAGTGTCGGATATTCGTCAAGTTTATAGAGATTTCATATTTGATGAAAATTGGCAGGCAAAGAGGGAAAAGTTCGTTGAAAATGCTTCCAACAGGTTTGCTCTTTTGGAGAAATATGTGAATAGGAGGAATACTCCTTATTTGGTTGGAGAAGATACTACTTTTGCAGACTATCATCTGTTGGAAGTTATTCATATTATCCAAAGAGTACAGGTGAGTGGAGTGATATCTGAAATAGATAGAACAACTAAGACTATTGATTAGAGTGATATTATAAAGCCATATTCTTGGCTTGGTTCATTTTGTCAAAATATGGAGTCTCGTCCCAATATAGCGGAATATTTAAAGTCCTCTCGTCGATTTGAGAAGCCTGTACCTTTACCACATGCTTGAAAGTATATACTCTCGATGAGAACCTATCCCAATCGGATAGAGATATTCGAGAGTTTCATTTTAACCTCTTGTTCTCAAGTAAAGATATTTGTGTTTGTTGAGTAGAAAAGGGAAAAGTACTCTGATGCTTTCTAACAATCTTTCATTCTTCTCGTAAGGAAACAATCGAATCTACATTCGCTTGTCGACGTGAAAACACTTTGAAATATTCTTCGAGAGGAGGAAGAGTATCCAATTTTTGTTCACCTCGAACAATTTTGGCAGCCCATGTTCTTTCAACTTCTTTGCAAGCATCTGAAATCGTTCTTCCAGAAAATTCCTTTCCCATACTTGCCAAAGTATACAAACCTTCTCGTGGTAGATGAGTCGCATATAAATGAATAATGTCTGCTCGAGTATCAATATCAGGTAACTCAAAATGTATAATTTCATCAAATCGTGATAACAAAGCAGCGTCCAAGTCATTCTTTCGATTGGTTGCTGCAATAAGAATAGACTTGCTTTGACCCGTAAGACCATCCAAATGTCTCAACAGAACAGACAATGTACGTCGAGTGGCTTCATGCATAGAAGAACGATCGCCCAAAAAGGAATCAATCTCATCTAAAAATACAAAACAGGGTCCATAATCATTACATACTTGAAGAAGCTTGGATAACTTCTTTTCCGAATCTCCATACCATTTACTAGTAATGGCTTCCATAGTTACATGTACCAAAGGAATGTTTCCCCGACTAGCTAGTATTTTGGCAACCGTAGTCTTCCCAGTGCCTGGTGGACCTTCAAATAGAACGGCTTTTGGAATAGGTGAACGGTATGACTTTCTTACACTGCAACTCACTTTTTCAAAAATATCTCTATGAACAAGAGGAAGTACCACAGCTTCTTCTACCTTTTCTTTTTGATATCGGTATCCTGCCAACATATCCCAGGAAAAGGAATCCTCTGGAAAGAATATGGAGGCACCATATCGTGATACTTTTCTTTCCAACTTTTCTATTCGATCAAAACTACCGATAGTATCTTCATCTTCATCTTCTTCCAAACTTGTTTTACTCTTCATGTTGGGAAGAAGATTGTGCATTTTGGACTCCAAACGTTGCAAGTACTTTCCCAAAGTGTCATAAATATCCAGATGAGTAACCACGTTGAAAGCTTCTGTTGAATGACAAGCTTCATAGGCATTCAACAACATATCCAACTCTTTCTTCAACAAAAATGGAGCTTGCTTCTCATAACGGATATTGTTTGGAAAACTATCGTTTTCTTCTCCCCATATATCTACTCGAAACGAAGAACGAACGACTACCGAGGCACCATTTTTGGTACAGGTGCGAAAAGAGATATCCAAGTCACTTGCACGAAGAAGTAATCCTGTTTCTATTGCCTTTTCTGCAAAGTATAATACAAGAGTGGATCTCTTCACTTTGTTCTGAATAGGTAACGTTATAGAGCAATGTTGTTCAGTGTGAACGAACGCTGGCAAGCTTGCACCTGGAACTTGTGCTTGCAATTCCCTGAATCGCTCTTGGACGACATCCCAGTCTATGACAGTTTCATCAGAGTTTACTGGAGCCGGAGGAGGTGAAGAAGAGGAAGACGAAGGAGGAGCGTCTGAAGAAGGATATCCCTCATAAGGAGGAGGGTCACTACTGACAACTGGGTGGTGGTGGTTGTTCCCTTTCTTCGGAGCTTCACTCTTTCCCCTTTTTGAGCTGCTCTTATGCCTTTTTGAAAATAGATAGTTTTTGTTTGGCAAATAACCTATTGTCAGCAAGTGAGAGTTAGCCAAAAAGGAACCGCCAAAAAAGGTACCCACCCAAAGCTGACAAAAACGTGGTGGAGTGATGCGTAAACTTTGTTACTCTTTGAAAACTTGCTAGCGTATAAGTTTTCTTGAATAAAGCTGAATAAAGAACTAAAGATCTTAGCATGGCTTCCTTTTTGTACTAGTCTGTCACAATTTAAAGAATTCACCACAATCATTCATCAGGTTTGAGACAATACCTTCCAAGGTAAGAGAATATGTGTCTAACTTCATGGACAAGTATCTTGTTCATTCATAGAATACTAAGAACATATTTTGACTTAAATAGGGAAAATAGCTCTTCTGAATGATGGTAACAAGCTTGAGTTTATTACGTTGCCTATTATATAGGAAGAGATAGATCACTGTGCTCTATTTTGGAGAATTTCTTAAGAGAATTCGCTGGAATTGGTCATTTGGCCCACATTCTTCGAAAGTTTTTGTATGATCCAACCAACGCTTGGCGACTGGAGAATTTCTACTCCTATGGAAAATAGGAATCAACAGGAAAGAGTTATTATCTGGAATAGAAAATATAGAAGAAAAGTGGGTGGTAACGCAGCTCCTTTTAGGCGTAACTTGGCTGCATATTTGCAAAAGCACCCCGATTGTGAGGTCTACTGTGGACAGGACTTGTACAAAGAAACAGTGCCATCAGTTAGACCGATATTACCAAAAGCACAACCTTCTCTCTATCCTGATGTTGGAATGGACATATTTGGTCAGTATAACAGCTCAATGACAAGGAAAGAGGGATTGCGGTGGAGTGAAAGACCAAGCTATAGAGACAACTCCTTGACTACTAGAGCGGACTTTTTTGGCTTCTCTCCTGTTGGCAAATTTTGGGAACCAAAAACAGATACAGACTTCAATTATTTAGAGAACTCGTGGGTGGAAGAGGAGGTAGATAGTAGTAAGCCTATGGAAGAATATGAAAACAAATCGCGAGATAATGTTGATTGTGCAGTTTCGAAAAATGAAAGGAAACTTGTACAAATTGAGCAAATAGTGGATAGCAGTGAGTCTAGTTTACGTCATACCTCTGAAGTGTCTGCAGAAGAGGGCAACGTAAAACCTGCGTTGAGAGGCCTTTGTGATCTCGCCAGTCATCCTACCTTGCAGTTTGAACCATCCATGGTAGTTTTTATCATTTTTATAGACACTATGATACTAATTGATCATATACGTATTTAGGTTTCACCTTGTGTGTCTACACCAGAAGGTAGTTTTCCGTTTTCAAACTCGTTTCATACTCCCTATTCTATTGACTCATCTGGTTCATCCTATTCTTTAAAAGAAAGGTGGGCATTGCTTCGTTCAGAAGCAGTAAAGAGTGTGATAAAGAGTTCCGAAACAACTCAAGAGGAGGAGGGGATAGGTTCGTTCCCCGGGTCTGTGCCAACACCCTCACGCATGATGGACTATGAATACTATTCTTCTTATCACGAGTTTAGATAGGAGACCTGGGTTTCTGAATTATCTGTTCATCTGTTGTACAACGCAATCAAATCTGGACAAGAGTCAACCTGTGTTGAGACACACTCACAATTCCCAAATTGTCCCTGAATGGGTCGAGTCGGGGGGGGGGGGGAACTGAGACGTTCTCTCAACTGATTTTCGTCCGCCTTCCAGTGATCGTTAATCGGATCAGGAGAGGACAACAGCTAAGCCTATTACACACATTTCAAACGTAAAAGACACGTTTGGAGGAGCTTGCAAACTGTGATTTCCATTGTAATTTTTTGGGCTATTTTTATCTAGTTGTGTTGATACTTGTTCCACTGAGAAATACTGGGAATTCAAATTATGTGTTCTTCAGTATTGCAAAACAAGGATAAAGAGAAATATATTGAGTCCTCGCCAGTTGTTTCTTTACCAGCTGTTTTACCTTGTAGTGGACAAGACACAAGTTTGACGGTAGAAAGACTATCCAGTCCTACTGCATGGAGTTCAACAGAGCAAGCTGTTAGAGACACAGGTTGCTCTTTCTATCCATGTGAAAGTAACTTGAGTACTCCTACTGCAGCATGTGAGACGGAGCAAAGTCAATATAAGAAAGAAATGAAACGTGAGAGAAGCAGACGGTTGGCAAGAGAATTTCGAGCCCGCAAAAAGGAAGAGATATTACGTTATCGTGCAGTCATCGTCAGTTTGACGAATAAAGTGCGTGAAATGACGATAGAAAACCGAAAGCTACAACATCTCATAGAAGAACTCAAAGCTTCATCCATATACTCGGGCAGTTCGGTATTAGAGTTGGAAAGTGATAGCAGTAGAACGGAGCAATTTGTTCATATGCAAAAACAGGTGCTACAGCTTCAGATCTTATTATCCAATCTTACTTCTTCTCGCTCACGAACAGACCACCACCAAATGTTTACACATTCAAATAGTCATGAAATAAGTGCATTCACGCTGCCTCCATTGAAAGCAGGGTTAGAGATATCCCAGAACTCATCACCCTGTTCGATCTTTTCAAACTCTGAAACCTCTCCTAGACAACTTTACACACCTCGTTTGAACGACGTTACCTTTTCATATTGTACAACAGATACCGGGACAGCGAAACACACTGTGAAGTTCTCAAGAGATGGCGAGGTTCATCATCGTTCCATTTTAGAGTAGTGGTCATTCCAAATCTTCTATTTAGCTATGCTTGTAGTTTAGAGTCGTATGAATGAGTGATAGATGAAGTGAAGGGTGATGTGTTGTTTTTGTGGAAAATGGGAATTTAGGAAATAAAAATAGCAATCGATTTGTGGTAAATGGATGTTTGGGCCCGAAAGCGTTATTTACAAGGCATACGTTATTTTGCTGGAAAGAAGGTTACTTTCCAACTGTATGAAAAGTGAGTATTGGTTTATTCCTATGCTTGAGTGGTCACAAGTGGTAGTACTAGATTAGACGTTGTTGTTGAGACGTTCGATTCACATACGCGACAAGTTATTGTGAAAGACCTAACGACACCGTTGGGTACCTATCCTTGCGCTATATTACGTTGTTCCGACGTTATAACTTGTTTTACTGTGTAAAAGAAAACAGTCCAAGAACTATCTTATATTCAAATATGTTACAGAAGCTATTGCACTGTTGTATGGAGTTGTTCTTCTTCAGCGAGACTGTTGCTGTTCACCATCGTGTAACTTTTTGGAAGACTGTAACCAAACCTTGTATGTCCTCCATAAAGCAGAAAATCCAGTGAACAACAAAACAACAGTCGCAATCAAAGCACCTGTCTTACCCATTTTTGTAAGAACGAGCATGATGAGACCTGCAATCAAAACACCCCCGGTGATGGAAATAGTGGCTCCCCAAAAAGGCATATTCAATACAAACGCTATAACAGCACCAGACCAAGCACCAGTACCAGGTAAAGGTATTCCGACAAATAAAGCAAGTGCAATCTCGCGAAAAGTTTCGTTGGCTATTTGTTGCTTCATTTGCTCAGCTCTCCTTAACATGGGTGCAAACCATTTTTGAACTTTTTGGTGCTTCAAACCATGAAGTAACAACGGCACGGGTAACAGATTGCCCAATACACTTAAAAAATATACTTGCACGAGAGAGAATCCCATCCATACTCCAATAGGTATGGCTCCTCGAAGTTCCAAAACTGGCAAAGAAGAGATAATGAACAAAACGAGAGCATCCGGTAATCCCAACTTTCGAAGCTTGGCTACGAGTTGCAACCCAAAGTGTTGGTTTGAGGAAGATTTCACCGGGTGGGTACTTTTAAGAGTATTAGGTAGGAGTCGATCTAGGGGAGCCGTTTTAACGTGGCAAATCCTTCCTTCCTTGGTAAGTAATGTTTCTAATGAAGAAGACAAGGTTAAACTAGCAGAGTCTAAAGAGTTAGCTGCATTAGAATGTTTGACGAGGGAAGTAGCCAATACAGCTTGCGAAGGCAAAGGCAAACACATCTTGGTTGCCACAAACCACAGTGACAAAAGAGTATTGGCAAGTTTACGAGACTGCCTTGAACACGCAGAACAATAGATATGGCAGGGGAGATGACGACTTTGTCGAGCGTTCACAGGGAGGCTGTTTCGAAAGAGAATACTACGAGTGGCGTCACCATAGTTGTTGATAAACATTCCTTTCTTTCGACGATTCTTGACAAGAAATTAAATGGAGCAGAAATATTTTTGCTTTATTCCAAATCAATAAAGCGATCATAAGTATAACCCAAATCTTCATAATTTAAAAGTTGGCGAATTGTTCGTGGAGGACTCAGCAACCTCAAATATTCATCGAGGGCCATATAACCTCTGTCGATTCGATATTTTGGCTCATACTGATCAATTCCATTGATACGTTGCCAACTAGCGAAAATTCGATCTACATTAGCATGAACTAAATAAAATACAGGGTCTGTACTTGATGACCGAATCTCTCTCATATTGCCCCCAATATATGCGTGTACTCGATTATGTAAGAAATCTGGTTCTCCATATGCAGAAGCCCATCCTTCCACGCACGCTCGAAAAGAAATATTCTTGTCTGAATGTGAGTCAAATGGAAATACGTCATATATCTTCAAATTCATACACTGCCGGAGTTGCGACTTGTCTGGTAAGCTTGGTGAGAATTCAGTATAACCAAAATCTCGTCTCAGAAAAGGAACAAGTGGACCTTCCGAACAATTCCATTGACCCTTATGATAGGCAAAAGGGCCATCTAATACAGGACTATTGATATCCGCAACTCCATGTGCCTCCGCAACTTTAGCAGCAGGTGTTGAAGAATTGCCGATTCCATTACCACCCAAAAAGTCTGGACGAAAGACACTGGTGAGTCCTGAGTCTTCAATAAAGTCCCAATAAGGTATAGTCAGGTTAGGATTTCCAGTCAAGTTTTGGAGTTGTACTTCCATCAGATAAACAAAGTAGCGATGCCATGGAAGAAATGAGGGTGCCATATGTCCATATAACATCATATCGTCAGCATCGTGTAAACGGTTAAATGTGTCATAAGTAACACCAGTAAGTGGGTTTCCTTCATTTTTCAATTTCAAAAAAGCATCACGCAGTTCTTTCTTTTCTTCTTTTGAGAGTGTTCTTATGTCACGTCGAACTTTTAGATTCTGTGTGGCCCTCGAGAGGGGTGCAGTAACAATTTCATTAGGTTTAGAAGGTACAAGTAAACCTCTCCATCCCCGAGCAAGCCTTTCCAACACTCTGGAACCCAGTTTCAAATTCGATTCTTCTAAAACTTTGTCGCTGCAACGAACAATTACGCCACCAACAGAGTATACCAACTCTTCGTTCACCACGCTATGAGGTTCACCAAACTGACGTCGTAAAAACTCTCCAGCAGTACGAGGACGTCTTAGAAAAACTCCTCCCGTTCTTTGTTGTTTATTAACTTGGAACAAGTCGTCAGTGTAAAAACAACATAGTACCAGAAGCAAAAATGTAGATAAAAATACTATCCCAAACTTGCGACGGGAGACAACGAAGTTTGAATGCCTTGAGGGTATCATCATGCACCAACAAAAGCTGACAACTCTGTAAGATACAAGTAACTTCAAGCACCGTGTCCCACTGAAACTACTTCATGAGCCGTAGGTTTTTGCCGATTCAAGCTTGAAGTTGTTTTTCTGGAAAACTAATTTCGAAGTACATAAAGTAAAACTTGCCATTTTGGGGAGTCTCGTTTCTGTCGCTTGATTGATGAATCGCCACACGAGTCAATTTTCTGAAACGTTTGAAGCTAAACTCGTCATTTTTCCATTTGTTCGTAGTTGACGATGGAAGGACGATTCATGTGGGTTAAGGAGCGATTTAATGGATAGATAGACTGCTTCGCAAGTGGAGACAATCCAGTATGACGAAAAGATGAATATTATGTCATATTTTCGGAAAAATACAAGGTTTTCTATTCGCATTCTTCTTAGGACGGTATCCAACTAGACAAACACTATTTTTATTATTCCCACTTATAAAACACAAAACAAACAAACTCTCTCAAAATATCACGAATACTCTAAGAATCCTCTACAGGAACAGGTTTTTCAAAGAAACGATCCGATTCACGATATGCAACAATATTCGGCCGACTCTTCATCTTGTTATAAAAACTTTCCAGATGAGAAAAGTCTTTTAGAATATCATCCTATGGCGAAAATCAATACAGCAAACTCAAGTTGAAAAAATACTTATATACCTTCTGCCTTTTGATTACGTCAAGTACTTCGAACATAAGATAATCTGCAAACGTGGGTTCACTACTTGCCAAATATGGCTTCCCTTGACGTTTCATAAACTTCTCAACTAGATCAAACTTTCCTTTCACGTCCTTCACAAACTCTTCTTTCTTCTGCTTGTGATTTTCGTCAAATATAAATTTTACATACATATTCTGAATGTCGATACCCATATCAAACATCATATCATTAAGTGCCTTTTCAACATCATCTGCTCCATATTTGTTGTGTTTTCTAGCCAAATATCTTGCAATAGCTCCACTTTGAGCAAGATGAAGTTTGTCATCGTGAAGCACAGGTACTTGTCCAAAAGGAAGTTCTCCAGATTCCAATCCTTTCTTTTTGAAAGAATTCCACTCGTCACCAAACTGAACAACTTGACTATTGTAAGGTATTTTATTATCTTCTAAAAGTAAACGAGCATGTTCTGCTCTTCCTCGAATAGGAAAGTAAGTAAGAGTGTAGGTCATCGTGTGTTCCAAACGAGTTTTCTAGAACAATCACTTTTGGCATTTATGGTACTCATTGGCCATATTTAAGTCTGACAAGGAATAACCTAGAAGCAAATTCAAGTCAGTAGTGTGTGATTCAGACATGAAGAAGAGTAAAATGATTTCTACATCTTCTTTAGTTTCTGTCACGAAGAGCATAAGAGTAGAAATGCCACCTTCCTTGAAATGATCATTATTAAGTGATGATTCATCAATTTTTGTAAAGCCGGCATAGCTCAGTTGGCTAGAGCGTCAGCCTAACATGCTGAAGGTCGCGAGTTCGAGCCTCGCTGCTGGTAAAATTTGTTTTTGGCTTTGTATCAATAGTATCAGTTGAAAGTGCTTTTATGATGGATATATCTGGAATGGTTGATTTTACTTCATGCTCCGCTCAACCCAATAAGTGTGAGCAATAAAACCTTTGAAGACTTGGTGACAAGAAATGATTTTTAATTTTTAAATACACCTCACTTCAGCAATGACTAACATTGAGTCACAGCTGCAAACGGACATATCTACAAAACCTAAAGGTTTTGCTTACATATACTAAGAATACACGGGATTGACAAAAGCCAGAAGAACCTCGGAACGTATTCTGACCAACCCAACCAGGTTTTACTCTGATATGCTTCTTAGCTTCTTTCCAACATATCACCACCATACATTCCAGTCATGAGGGTATTCTGGTTTGAAGGAAACCCCTTGTAAAAACTACCTTGTTCCCCCTTAGTCTCTTCGGTCTGTACAGGAAAGCTTGCCAACAAACGACTTAGCTTGGATCGAAGTCGCTGGTTTTCCTGCTCCAAATGTTCCATACGTCGATATACACTGGACAAAGTCTTCTGTATATGTGCACTTTCCCAAGAACCTTCAAAAATACCCATATCTTGTTTCATCGGCTTTCTTTTCTCATATCCCCCACTATATGACATGTTTTCATCGATCGTGCTCATGTCATCCGTACTAGTCACGTGAGATAATATCATATCATCTGGGAAGGTATTATACATCGTTTGACCTTCCATACCACTAAATGGTTTCATATTTTTCACACAATTCTCTCTGTCAGGAACATTGTTCAAAGTTCCAAAAGCTCTCATTCTATTCCACAACGTATCTCTCGAATTCAATGGCAATTGCAGAAATCGGTTTGCGAGTCGAGGATCTTCATCCGTTGCAGGAGAATGCGAAAAGTCTTCATGCATTACATAACGTGGAAGTTTCTCGCAAGAACCTGTTTGTTGTAATCTCATATCCTCTTGAATCTTACCGGAGGGTACGGAGTCCCTCCCCCATTGCATGTTCCAACCAGGCAATTCATAAGAAGAGTCTTGATGATACTCAAGAGAAGTATTGCTCACAATCAAATTATTCCTTTTCAATGGTGAATCAGCCTCCGAATATGCGGTTACTTCACTTGTTACTTCGAGTGGAAGCCTCACTGAGTCATAGTCTTCAAACCTGAAAATCAACGATGAGCATGTTGTGAAACAAATGCGCTGTTCTCTTCATACCCTTCACATTTGGGAAACCGAGACATGGGACGACTATAACAAGAGGACGAATGTGCACTGCACTCAGGTTCCGAGCTATCCAAAGACAAAATAGGCGATAATGGGCGCATATTTCCAGAATGGTCTGTATACTCTTCCACCATAGTTCTTCTATGTTGAGCTGTCTCTTGTGTAGCTGAATGTGACCATAAAGAAGAATTTTTCTCCAATGACTCCAATTCCTTTGCATTCAAAGATATCAAGTAATTGGGTTCCAAGCTATAAGGATTGACTACAAAGCAAGCAGGTTAGCGCTCTTACCAGTTGATTGGAAAACCAATAACCTACTCAAACTTTTATCCGGCCTCAACAACGACTCTCTTTTTCGCTCCAATTCGAAAAGTTCGGTTCGCAATTTCAACATTTCATTATATGCGTTTCCATTTTTTTCTTGAGCGACGTATTGTTCCAAGAATTGCAGTCGCTCCTTTGTCTGTTGAATCGATCTCTCGATACTTTGAATTTTTCTATAAGGCCAACGAGTGATGCCGTATTTCCGGCAAATCTACGTTGATCAATATTAGCAAACGACGCTAACTTCTGGAACGATTGTGATGAATACCTTTTTAAGCAGTGTGCAACATACACCAAGTTTCTTGGACGCTGTTTGAATGCTTTGAGTAAAATAAGGGGATATCACTTCAATGGTCAGCTGCGATGACGCTCTCTTTGTCATCAGTGCTGTTGAACGTGTTCCTCTTTCGAATAATGGAGAGTCGCGGTAAGAAAGAAAACTACCTTGTTGCTCCACTTTTGAAATAGGATAATTCAACGTTTGACCCCGAAAATAACTCTACGAGTCTTCGGGTGGAGCTAATAGAGGAAGGCGTGTTTTACTACGCTCAATATATGGTGAGAACTTTACCCAGTTAAACGGTTGGTTAAGAACCGTCACCCCACACCAGGTACACTCCCAAGATTCGGCCAAATTTAGCTTTTTTTTTCCACCAGCAAGCAGCAATTTTTTTCATTTCCTCAGCCAATGGATTCGAGAAATTTCTCTGATTTGTCCAAATGCGCCGTCATCATACAAAGAGACCGAGGGTGCCATGAGAAAACAAGATATGTGCCAAGGAAGGATCTTCTAGTAGTTTGGGAATAAAAATCTTTTTTGGTGAAGTTGTTTATTAAAATGTTTTGTACATTCTAACAAACAACCTCTTTTTTATTTTTTAGTAGTTGAACAGTTACAATTTTACACCAAGGGTATGCCACCTATTTTTGTTACCGTCAAGAGCATACGTTGGTTGAAGAAAAGAGCCTTCCGTTGTGAAGACACTAGAGATGCAAAATAGAACCCTATTAGGAGTCCCCCCTATCCATTTGCAGAAACTTCAACACACACAGACACACAAAAGACACAAAGAGAAACACAACTGACTCACAAGAAACACAAACCATCACAAACACTTACACACACAAATATATATGTATATGTATATGCGTATACATACATAGAGTTACATACATATTCATGTGCATGTTATGATGGGCGCTGTACACTACGTCTTCTTCAACAAAAACTTCATTCACAATAAAGGCTCTTGTCCACATGCGCAGGAAAGGGTGCGATCTCCGTAGCCAATTCTTGCTCTATCTTATATAGATTCAATCGGTCGTCATGAGTAATCATGCTAATTGCAAGTCCTCTGTGACCAAATCTTCCTGAACGTCCAACACGATGCAGATAGGTTTCACTGTTCTTCGGAAAATCAAAGTTGATTACGACATTAACCGCTTGGATATCTATGCCTCTTGTAAAAAGGTCGGAACAAACCAAATTACGACAGGCACCATTCCTAAAATCATGGAAAACACGGTTTCGATCCTCTTGTGCCATACGAGCATGAACATAAAAACATGAATAACCTAATTCGGTTATCTTCTTAGCTAGCAACTTTACACGATTAACTGAATTGCAAAATATTATCGATTGATTGATCTGCAACTTTGAAAATATTGCATTCAAGCAAGCAACTTTCTTGTTTTCTTCAACATAAGCATAATATTGTGTTACTCCTTTCAATGTCAGTTCGTCCATCAAATTGAGTTCATAAGGTTTCCGCTGAAATCGGTCACGAAAAGCTTTCACAGTAATTGGAAAAGTGGCCGAAAACAGCATCAGTTGACGATTGGTTGGCAGAAATCTTTCAATCAACCGTTCCAAAACTGAAGTAAATTCCATAGAAAGCAATTTGTCGGCTTCATCCAATACCACCATCTTGCACTCGTTGAGTTTACATACTCCCCGTTCAGCCAAGTCCAATACTCTACCAGGTGTTGCCACGAGTATGTGAACTGGATTATAAAGTCTTAGTATATCGTCTCTTAATGACGTTCCTCCAGTTGAAGACATAACTTGAAGTTGATCAATTCTTTTCCCTAGTTGCTTACATACGTGAGCTGTTTGTAAAGCTAGTTCTCGAGTGGGAACCAACACGAGGGCTTGAATACTATTTCTCTTGGGGTCCACTCGTTCTAAGACGGGAATCAAATAAGCTGCTGTTTTGCCTGTTCCATTTTTGGCTCTTGCTAAAATATCTCTCCCCGCTAAGGCCACAGGAATTGCTTCTTCCTGTATGGGACTTGGCTTCTCAAAGCCCATTTCAAAGATACCCATCAACAGCTCCCTCTTCAGATAATAGTCTTCAAAATCGTTTCCCTTGGTTGCAGTTACGTCCTCTGTCTTAAACCTTGCGTCTTTTGGAGGTAACTGAAGTGCACTTTTCCAGTCTTGGGTGGAAAGTTGAGGTTGCGTACTATTGGGGGTTGAGCCCGAAGCATAAATGGGTTGAGACTCTAAGCTATTCTTTTTCAGATATGCTTGTTGACTGTTAGTTTCCGGTGTGGCACGAAATCTTTGCTGACTATGGTTGCTCCAATTGGAAGAAGCCGAGTATCTCCCGTTTCCTCTATGAACTGCTTGGTTATAGTTGTTGCCCTCTTGTTGCGAGGTGTTGCGGAGAACTGAAGAATATAGTTTCTGGGAGTTGGACTGTGCCACGCTTTGACTCATTGCTGATTCAAGTATTCTAACTTAATATTCACAAACACTTTTCGACGACGTTTACGGCGCGCTTCCCCACCCAATGCAATGCTCTTTTGGATAATAAAAAAATAATATTCAAGATGGACTTGAATGGGGAAAATTCGAAGCTTTTGTAGTGTCCACACTCAGGCATTAGCATCACTAAATGGTCGCCTTTTTATACTTTATTCAATCAACTTCCCCACTACTTCAGAAACATCTCTTGACAAATTGTTTCTAGAAAACAGAAGATTCAGTTGTTCTTTCACATGGGAGCGCAAGTTAGGTTCCAACTCTCGCCAGATAGTGAAAGAAGTGGCAATTCTAGCAGCTACTTGAGGATTGATTTTGTCCAGTTTGCGTATTTGATCAGCAACAAACTTATATCCACTTCCATCAGCCAAGTGGAAAGCATATGGATTCTGTAATGCATATCCACCAATTAATGCATATACATTATTGGGGTTCTTGATATCGAATGATTTGTGTTCCAAAAGGTTTTGAACCCTAGAAAGTGTATCTTTGCTAGGAACAAGCGCTTGAACACGAAACCATTTGTCCAAAACTAGAGCATAATAGATGAACAAAACTCAAAACGCAAACATTTTTTGCATACCTAAATATTCATGTTCCCATTTTCGATAGAACTCTGCCAATGCCATTTCGCCTTCTTCCTTTCCATATATCGACAAAATATTCAAACAAGCCAAAGCATCGGTCATATTATTTGCTTTTCTGAAGTGTTTGAGAGCTAAGCTCACGGCCGTTGGATCCTGAGAACAACAAAGGTACTCCAAACAAATATTCTTTAAAGCACGCTTTCCTCGGGATTCCGCATCTAAACGGTATTCACCTTCCAGTTCTCTTTCCAATCTTTGGAGAACTGACCAAAAGCTCGAGCTCAAACGTGTCGCAAGTTGACGCTTCAAATGAAGACGTGCCAAATGAATATCATCGGGACGAATAGGCTTCATCCATTGTGCAATGAACAATTCTGATGGAAGTACAAACATTGTTGAACGGAATCGATGTTCTAAACCCTCATCCAAAAGAGTCATTCGAAAAGCTTCAAATACATCATCGGATGGTGACATTTCTAGAGATGCCATAGAGTCAGGATTTAAGGACCCTTGAGGCATTCGTCTCACGATATCCAAAATGTACCGAAGTGTCACAGTTTGTGCAGCATCCCAACGGTTAAACTCATCCTTGTCTTTGGCCATTAAAAAAGTCAAATCATCTGAAGGTTGATCATGTTTCCATGCGAACCTTACAGGAGCAGAAAAACCTCGAAGCATAGAAAGTCTACTTCCTGGTGGCACGTGATAAAAAGAGAAAGTTTGCTTGGATTCTTTCATATTAAGGACTTTAGATTCCACGGCGCTTCCATCTCCAACGTCAACCATAACAGGAATTCCATCTCTATCTAGAATTCCCATCTTTATAGGAATGAGCATGGGTTCCTTGACAGGTTGTTCTTCTGTAGGAGGTAAATATTGTTCAAGATGTAAGTGCAACGTGGATTGGGAAGCATCATATTCTGTAGAAGCACACAGTTGAGGAGTGCCTGCCTGAGAATACCATAAACGAAATGGAGTCAAATCCACATGTGGGTTGGCATCTTGATGAGCAGCTAACCAATCGTCACACGTTACTGCCATTCCATCATATCTATCAAAATACAAGTCACACCCCTAAACAAAAAAAATATGAGAGAGAGTGTGTGTATATTTCATTGAGTTGAATAACAAAATATACCTTACGGAAACCTTCAGGGCCCACAAGATTGCGTAACATTCGAATTACTTCTGCTCCCTTTTCGTATATTGTTACTGTATAAAAGTTGTTAATTTCTATATAGCTTTCAGGACGAACGGGGTGTGCCATAGGACCAGCATCTTGAGGAAATTGCGTAGTACGTAACCTCATCACATCTGAAATTCTTTTTACAGTACGATTGGTCATATCGGCACTAAATTCTTGTTCTCGGAAGACTGTTAATCCTTCTTTCAATGACAGCTGAAACCAGTCGCGAAGAGTAACCCGATTGCCTGTCCAATTATGAAAGTATTCATGAGCAACTACTGCCTGAATAGCTTCAAAATCAGAATCCGTTGCAGTTTCTGGATTCGCTAATACATATTTAGAATTGAAAATATTCAAACTTTTGTTTTCCATAGCACCCATACTAAAGTCATCCACAGCAACGATATTGAAAGTATTCAAGTCATATTCTCGACCATATTGTTCTTCGTCCCATTTCATCGCTTGTTTTAAACAGTCCATAGCAAACGTCGCTTTGGGTAAATTGCCTTGTTGAACATAAATACAAAGTTTCACCCTTTTTCCTGACATAGTCACAAACCAATCTTCCAAATAGACCAGTTTACCTGCAACAAGTGCAAACAAATAACAAGGCTTTCGAAATGGATCCTTGTAAACTGCATAATGATAATTTTCATCAGAACAGCTACCCGACTCCACACAGTCTCCATTGCTAAGAAGAACAGGATAATCTTGTTTAGAAGCAACCAAAGTGACCTCAAAGATCGACATTACGTCAGGTCTATCCGGAAAAAATGTGATTCTACGAAAACCTTCTGCCTCACACTGTGTAAAGAAATTGCTCTTTGATAAATATAAACCCATCAAGGCAGTGTTCTTGGAAGGATTAAGGCTCACTTGAAATTCCACTAATGCTCCTTTTCCAGAACCGTCTATGTTTTTGACTATCAAGTGCGCCTTGGAAAGGTCGTAATCCTCTCCTTCTTCCAGCAACCTCCCATCAACTTTCAAAGAGTTGGGAACGAGTTCGATTACTTCCCTATCACCGTCGAGGTGAAAATGGGCACGGTCGCAGTTACCATATGCATCCGTATTAAAACGAATGTGAAGTTTAGTCAAAACTCTTGTGTCAGAAGGATCCAAAATGAACTTGAGTTTTACTTGGTCTACCAAAAACTCGGGAGGTTTGTAGTCTTGGCGCCTCTTGACTCGTGTTCCTTCTACTCTTTCCAACGACTGAGAAGTAGTTGATGAAGCACTACAAATCAATCTTTTCTTTAAGTGTATATTATTGAATTGTTTCCAACGCTGCCAAAAAGTGGTTATTCTTCCACGTAACAAGTTGAACGAAAAATCTGTCTTTGAAAGTGCTCTTGTTCCGGTCGATTGTTTCCAAGAATTACAAAAACTATAGCTTCTCCATATATTTACTTTCAACAAAGGACTAACCAACCAGGAAACTTGACCACCACAAACCATTCGTATCGCCTTGTCTCTTTCAACAATCGCTAATAATTCTCATTCCAAATAAATTTTTTGTTACATATTGGCAGAAGAATATATTCTCTCTTGTAAAGTAGCGTCCTTTTTGGCTTGTTTCATAGTAAGATACGCACTAGATCCTTTCAGTGGTTTGAAAACTTCTAATATTCACAACCTACCGATAAATACTGTATGCTGTTAATACCAATACCAAAGCCCCCAACGCTACCAATAACCATAAGACAATATGAGTTCCACTGCTTTCCGGTTCAGATTCTATATAGCTAACGAACCAAACATAGTCTATATAGAAGCAAGTCTCTCCTAAGAAGTAGATGATCCAGGCGATAAATCTTCCAGTTGCCAAGTCTGATTTTTCCTTTAAACTGGATACAAAAAGAAAACGTATGTCTGCAGCTTCAATTAGGGCCACTCCTATGATAAGTAGTGCTACAGCAAAACCATAGATTACCTTTGTGGTCGCAAACCAAGAACTCTTTCCGTATTTGGAATATACCCACCCAAAGATGGCAGCTATTAAGACTGTTATCACGAAATCAAGTATGGCGAAAGTTATAACATAACAATGTTTTCTTCTGGTTTGTGAAGTTGAAGATTGGTGGACAGTTGAAGGAGGGACGGAAGAAGGAGGAGGAACGACACTGGACACGTTTGCTCCCCAAGTAGTGTTATAGTAATAAGTTTCGTCACTAGGACTAACGTAGGAGACATTTCTTGCTGCGACAGGAATGGAACTTGGAGTGTTTTGGGAACGAGAATCTTGTCTAGTTCCAGGAATGACTCTATTACTTTGTGGGTAGGAATACATCGAGAACTAGTATGGTTGTATTTCCAAGAGCAACGAGTCATCAATATGAAAATCTTTTCCAAATTATAATCAAATTGCCACGTATATATTTGAAAGGACTCCGTTTTGCTTGGTTCTTCGAAAGAGAACAACGATAGAAATTTCTAGTTGCAACATGTGAAGAAACCACTTTAACAGGTCAACAACAGATATTCCAAGTACTTTTCATTTGTAGTTTAACGAATGATTCTAGTGGGATAAAGTAAGCAACTGGTTGAATGCCTCCCTGTAGATAGGAATTGCTATTTATAGTAGTATTTGTATTATTTGGCATCGGATGCGGGATAGACGTCAATCTCAAGGATTGAGCTGGTTATTCGTGCCTTTACTAGCTGAATATTCTTACTTGAATAGAGTACGCAGGAAAAGTGGGTTTAACTGCAGTACTCTTCATCTCAAGTTTCGAAGGTTGAGGTTCCACGTGAACGTTTCCAAGATGGAAGCTGCTGGTTCTCGAGACACAAGTTTACTCATTATTGGCGCTGGAGAATTGGGGAAGAGAATTGCGTTTCAGTGGAAAAGTAGATTCGCAAGTCAAAGTAGAGTAGTAGGAGAAACGCGTACTTCTAGGAACCATTCGGAACTGAACCAGATGGGTGTGGAGCCTCGTCTTCGCCAGGACCCTCAACCAGAGCCATTTTCTTACGTAGTCTTCTGTGCAAGTCCAAGAGGTAACTCTAGTTACGTAGATGAAGTGAGAAGAGCAATATCTTTGTGGAAGGGAGACGGTAATTTTGTATTTACTTCCAGTGGTTCGGTCTATCAACAGAATAATGGTGAGATGGTTGATGAACGGACTGCCACTGCAAGTGTTCAAGATTCGAATGCTTCTTCTCAAGCTCTGTTAATTGCTTGTGAGAATGAAGTTCTTCAATCTGGAGGTAACGTAATTCGTCTGGCTGGTCTATACAGCAAAGAACGTGGTGCACACGCGTATTGGTTACGTACGGGTCAAGTGAAAGGCAATCCAACGGCGCTAGTTAATCTGATCCATTATGATGATGCTGCAAATTTAGTTATTTGTGTGCTTTGTCGCCAAGACTTGCGCAGTGAGATATTATTGGGTTGTGATAGTCATCCTATTTCTAAACAGGATATTTGTCGATGGGGACAAAAGTTGGATATTTACAGAAATCTACCATTCCCTAGTTTTGTAGACAATCACGATAGTGGTAAAGGGAAAATTTATAACAATACTTTTACTAGAACAACTCTTTCTGAATGGAGTTGCAAATACAAGTCATTTGAAGATTTTGTTGTTCAACAAAATTCATCGTCAGTTGGTAACAAATGAAACGACCGAAGGTTTATACTCTTCAAGTATTATTCTCCACTGCGTTGTTTCGGTAGAAGAAATGGTTTGTTTTATCTATTTCTTGAGCTTTTGTTTATTCTCTTTGTCTATAGACAGCTTTTTCCATTTCAGAATAATTGCTTATTCAGTCTCTTCTCTGATTGGGGAAGATTGACGTAAAGAGGACGATTATGGATGAAAGCCGTCAACCGGAAGACGTGGACGATGAGTCACAAAAGCTTCTCTCCTGTATAGAAGCCAAAAGAAAGGTACCTTAACGGTTAATACTAGTATTCTTCTCTCAAACTGGAATAGGGTGACCCCGTTGCCTATTTTCAATTTCTTCATCAGCTGGGAGCGAGTCAAGGTGATTCGCTTTCACATAAGATACTAGCAGTTACCAAAAACGCTACAAAGTTACAATCTGACTTGGATGAGCTGGTATTTCAGTGTTTGGATTTCGACTGGCTAGCTAATGCATCTTCCGAAGTGGCGCTTGCTTCTTTCACTAACTTTGTATTAACCGTTACCAGTCTCCATGTACACTATGTAGAACCTGTCATTGCTTCCTTAACCAAGACTATTGTTTGTAAAGACTTTTCCCAAGTCCAGTCTTCAGCAGTGGAAAAACAAACCTTTAAGGAAAGCGAGTGCTTGAGCGAGATATATCACCAACAGACTTCTCATCTGTTATCACGATTGCTGCAGTTGTTGCAACTCGTGGTCGACTGTTACCCTACTTCTTCTCATATCGTCTATCGCAGTATTCATGTACACGCTCCTCACAAATTAAGGAGTGTAGTTGATCAAAGGACTTTTATCTATGGAGCTCTGTTGTTGAGCAAGACCTTCCCGGATATACGACAAGCTGTAGTGTTTCTTATTGTAGAAAAATTGGTGGAAGTGGATACGGAGGCTTCACAAGTACTAAGAAAGGGAAGATATCCACCTCTGTCGGAGTCTGTCGTTGAAGAGTTGGAAACAAAGGAAATTGCAGATATGGTCAACAAATTGGACAAGTTGATGGAACAAGTATTATTATTTATTCATCATTTGGACAGTCCCAGTGAAATACAATCTTATCTTTCATACTTTATGGACTCATTTATCAATCTCGTTCTACCATTGCTGTATCTACGATTTACACCATTTCTATTCTGTATCATTTATGGTTCCTCTGTAGAAAAAACTCAAGACCTTCTCTGGCAACTTTGGTTTATTTTTACAAATGGAAAGAATTTTGAAGAAACTCGAATATTCAGTATCAAGTATTGTAGTTTTATGCTTTCACATTTACGAATTGTGAAACGTGAAACGATGATTCAATGGTTATCAATGGCTGTCTCTTGGCTTCATGATTATTTGGAACTACATGAGCAAAGTGATTCCTATCTTTTTCAAGCAGAAGAAGAGCAGATGCCCATTTCAGGCTCTTGGAGAAGCGATAGTGAGAGCATTGATGGTGATTGGTTAGCCGAAGAGAATATTCTATTGGACTCTTTGAGCTCTTCTAAAAGGACGAACTTGTATTCGATGGATTTGGCACATCGACTGTTTTATTGTACACTCGATGCAGTAATTTATGTATTGTTAAGCAGAGGTCATTCTTTGTTATCTTCTGAACAAAACATGCGAATACCCAGTCTTGAAGGTAACCTTATTGAGAAACTTCGTTCCTTTCGTTTGGCGAGAATTTTGCGTTCATCTCTTTGTCCTTTATTGTTCCTTCCTCATGAACAAGGTCGAAGATTTATTTATTGGGCTTTCTCATTGCGACTTTTTGATTGTAGGGATCTACTTGATAGGACATCAGATAAGACAACATTAGACTCGTGGATGAAAGAAGAAAGTTGCTTATCCATGATACCTTTTGATATGTTGGAGAATTGTGGAAAGTGGTTATCAGAGCTTGTTAGAAAGCCAGATGACTTTGTGGATGATGATGACGACTTTTCAGAAGATGAATAAAGTTAGTTGGTACAACAAGGTTATAGAGGCAACATTTGGCATGTCTTGATTGTCAGACATTGTACAATATATATATATATATATATATATATGTTACATAACTTTTCTGCCAAATTAGACAATATTTTTGAACAAGGTTCTCGTTGGTTTGGCTTTTATGTGGCTGTGGTTTATAAGAAAGAAGAGAGAGTGTTTAAAGTGGTTTTTGGAACGCCAGTTGAAGAGTCCTAAGAACTCAAGTTTCGCTGGTTTCTATAAGCAACCACTTGTCGAGAACACTCAACAGAGCCTTCACGTTCGAGTGGTTGATTCACTTCTAAGTTTATGCTCTTATCTTTACTTGTTTGGTTTGAAAGTTCATAGAGGCTGGTATCAATCTGGATTAGTCAAGTCTAGTCAGTTGTACGTGAAAGAACCAAACGGAAGTAAACGACAAATATTCACTTTTGCAGTTGGGAACTATACGTGGGGTGGCACAGGAAAGACTCCTTTTGTGATGTTTCTTTCTAAACTTTTGGTCTCTAGAGGTTATCAACCTGTGATACTTTCACGTGTAAGTGAGACGTTTTCTGTTGACTAGAAATATATGTTATGACCATCTATCAAGGGTTATGGTCACAAGGATGAAGCGAAAATGATGATACGACAAGGACTTGCTATTGAAGTCCTAACGGGTTCAAATAGAGAAGAAGCTTTTCAAAAAGTATTTTCATCGGTCGTATCTTCCTCAACGATGGTAGTTATATTAGACGATGGACTGCAGCATTGGAGGTTGAAGAGACAAGTCAATGTTTTGATGGTCAATGCAGCTCTTGCATTCGGTGTGAATGGGTACTTTATTCCTCGAGGATCTTTGCGTGAGCCACCATGTGAAGCAGCTAGTCGCTCCACATGTATTGTGTTGCATCACTGTAATCAGGTTTCCGATTTCCAGTTGCAACAATTGAAAGCTTGGTTCCAAATGCAGTGTCCTGAAAAGCCCATTTTGACCAGCTTCATGGTAGTTCGGTCACTTTATTTGATAACTCCACTGAGAAAATTGGATGTTTGTTCTTTAGATATCATTGCAAACCAGAATGCTGTCGTATGTTGTGGAATAGAATATCCGAGTGGATTTCTTCGAACTGTAATGGATTATTGTCATCCTAAACAAGTAAATATGGAAAGTCTCGTGGATCATCATTGGTTTGTATTACAAGAACTACTGGAAATAGTGCTTAAATGGAATTCCTACTATGCTTCTTGGAACTTACTCATTACCGAAAAAGACTATTATCGCAATGAAGATGTATTTCATCAACTTGTCCAATACAGAGACGTGACAAAGCATGTGCAAGTATACGTTGTACAAGCAGAATTACAAGTCCACTCAGGGATACAAACATTGTCAAAGTTGTTGGACGAAATGAGAGATTCTTTCCAATAGGAAGCTAATGTCATATTTATTTAAGATTCTGTTCGAGGTTTCATAGCTGGAAACAACAATACTTCCTTAATATTATTATTATCAGTCAGAAACATCGTCAGACGATCAAGACCCATACCCCAACCAGCTGTTGGAGGAAGACCGTATTCCAAAGCAACACAAAAGTCCTCGTCATGTACCATCGCTTCTTCATCTCCTCCAGCTTTATCTTTTGCTGATTCAAGAAAACGTTGCCTCTGAACGGTAGGATTATTCAATTCTGTGTAAGCATTCACCAGCTCCTTTCCATTCACGAACAGTTCAAATCTTTCTGTTAGGCCTGGTATCTTTCGATGATATTTTGCCAAAGGACTCATTATCTCCGGATGATCACAAACAAAAGTGGGGTGAATACACTGTGGCTCAATAAACTCTCCAAATAACTTGTCCAACATTCGAGCAGTTGTTTTAGGTTCTGGACAAATGACATTCCTTTCAGAACAAATTTCAACAAGTCTGTTATGTGTTTCTGCGCTATCTAAAGGTCTTGGAAGCTTTTCTGAAAGATGTTCTTCCAAAGCATCCAACATGGATAGCCGCCGGAATGGTGGAGTGAAGTCAATCTTAATAGACTCCGACAAATCCTTCCCTTCTGGATGATATTCTATAACATAATCTCCTGTCAGTTCTTTCACCAGATTAGAGAGCATTCTCTCAGTAAAATTCATAAGGTCTTGATAGTCCCAATAAGCAGCATAAAATTCACATGAAGTGAACTCTGGATTGTGTGTCATATCAATGCCTTCATTTCTGAAATTCTTACCGATTTCATACACCCTATCCAAACCTCCGACTACCAACATCTTTAAATATAGTTCAGGAGCTACTCTCATAAACATTTTCATATCCAATTCATTGTGAAATGTAACAAATGGCTTCGCAGTGGCTCCACCAGCAATAGTATTCATCATAGGAGTTTCGACCTCTAGAAATCCATTTTCATTCAAAAACTGACGCACAAACTGAATGATTTTCGCACGCTTCGTAAAAGTATCTCTAGTTATTTCAGCATTCATGATCAAGTCCAAGTATCTCTGTCTAAACCTTGTTTCTGGATCCTTCAAAGCAAACTTGGGCAACATACGCAAACATGGGGACAACAACTGCACCTCAGTTGGAAATATACTTAATTCTCCCTTTTTCGACTTTCCAGCATATCCTTTTACGCCTACAATGTCACCTCTCCTAAGTAAGTTGTGTGTTGACGTAAAGTTGTCCAAAGAGTCAGCGTGCCTTGCATCTGCCATAATCTGTACTTTGGCGCCATCTGCTCGCAAGTCATAGAAATATAGTTTGGAACTTGCTGATCTTTTGCTAATTATTCTTCCTGCTAAACTTTCCAAAATATCTGTTAAGTGTTCTCCAGCCTGCAAAGAACGGTATTTTTCGATATAATTCGGAATGCTGCAAGTGGTATGAAATTTATGCGGGTAAGGGTCCACACCATGCTCCCTCGCTTCTTCAATAAGCTTTGTGCGGAGTTTCAAATACTGAGTGGGGTCCACTTCTTCATCATCTTGGTTTCTCTTGTCATTCGGCGCAATTTTTGCTTCACTCTCCCTCTTCTGAGACTTTTCTGCTTTCCTTTGTGCTTTTTCCAAACGCTTTTGCGCATTTTTACTAAGTGGCTTATTTTCGGCTTCTACTTCAGGTTCTTGTTCAGTCACATCTAAACCGTTCAAAGCTGAAGAAGTAACTGCGACGTCCTTGTCATTATTACCAGGATGGGATGAAAAGGACTGCATCCTTACGGAGAACGTCCTTGAAATACTTTTTAAAAAGGTGAGACACTGACGAGAGGCTATATTTTTATGAAATATGGTTATTTCCGTATGAAATGCGCACCAATCAATCAATGGAAATGTGCCGACGAGAAAATAGAACAGAAAATTACATTTGTTTATAAGAAACAATGACATTCGGATTACTTTCGATTCACCAATAATAAACCTCGAGGAATAAGTTGTGCATCTTGCAAACTTAAAGAATCCAGTTCTGTTTCTGTAAACACTTTCCTCGGATAAGTCTGTGCTAAAGAAAAACGAGGAATATCAGGTCGATTCTTCGCCACAAAATCAGCAACTTCTCGCAACTTCATGTGAGGCTCAAACTCACTTTCAATTTTACTTCCATCAGGAAAACGTAGCTGTACAACTCCAGGACCTTGGTGACCTGTTGACTGACTAGCACCTGAGTTCACATTAGGCTTTGTATTTTGTTGTTGTGTCTCAGAATATGACGCTGAATTATTTCCACTACGAGCCAATCTTTCCTGTCGGTCTTGACGAAGTAATTCACGTAATCTTTCTCTTTCCTTTTGAGCTTCTATTTTCTCTTTTTGTAATTTTTCAACGTGAGCTTTCCTTTTTTGTTCTTCAAGTGCCGCCTTCGCCTCTGCCAACTCTTTACCAGTTTTCATACGGTTTCTCTCTTTCTCTATTTCAGCTTTCTTCTCCTCTTCTTGTCTCTTCTTCCGAACCCTTTCCAATGCCTCTTGTGCTCGAGCTCTTTTTTCTTCTTCCGAAAGAGAAGAACCCTTGAGTGTTTCTTTCATAGCCGCTTCCTCTTCTTCCAAAGGATGGTCAATATCTGGATCCTCCATATGTTCAAATAACCAGTTCATAGCAGTTTCAACAGATTCGTGTTTGGTTCTGAGCAACGCTCTCTTTGCTCTAACTTCAGGAAATCCCATTTCCAATAGTTGCTTCAAATACTCCTCATTATAAAGTGGTTTGACCACGTTTGACGAAGATCTTTCCCCATTTGCCGACTGCTGAGTTCGACCCATGTTCCAGTTGATCGTGTTGCTGGATTCTCCACGACCTAAAACGTAACCCTCAGTTGATTCGACACTACTCATATGTTTCTTTATGAGATTCTCCAAAGTATTGGGATCAGCACCAACTAGTTCGTCTACCTAGAAACAATATAAGGGTGTGGACGAGACAATCACAATAAACTTGCCTTTTTACTATTTTTATAAAAATGAAAAGTTGGCATGGCAGAGATACCACAAGATGAAGCAACATCTGAGGCTTGGTCCACGTCAATCTTTACAAAGACCACTTGGGGATATTTGGTTGCAAAGTTGTCAATGAAAGGTGCGACAAAGTGACAAGGTCCACACCATTGTGCAAAAAAGTCAACAACGACTAGCTTACTTGCTGCCTCTTTTAGGACTCTATCAAACTCCGAAAGGTTAGAAACTTGACGAACCATAACAACAAGGAGTAGAAAACAACACTAGTCCAAAATCGTGAATATCCTATGCTCCATACAAGCGTACTCTTAATGAATTTATTCCAGTCTTTATTTTGTGGTTTTGAACATTTTCCAATGAACTTCTTTGATGGTCAAGTATACCGCCGAAAAGGTGTTAGTTTGCGTGGAAATAGTGGGAGACAAGTAAGAGAAGAGAAACTGAAAGGGAGAGTTTTTGAAGTTTCGTGAATAGGAAGATGGAAAGAGAATATTAGAGCGCGCTCGTGAAGAACGAGCTTTGAGGGAAAGACAGAGGTTGGAAGAGAAGAAAGCTGTTATTTTGCAAAGTTTTCTACGAGCAGGTTTACAGACAAAAAAAGCTAAAAAAGAGTTTGAACAAGAACTGGATGAGTTGTTGAAACTGGGGAGTTGTTCGGTTTGGACTTTAGAAAATGACCTTTTGATTACCAGAGCTATTCGATTGTTTCTATTTACTGTGCGAGGATATGATATTTATGGACTTTCTTCACAAAATTATGAGAGGCTATGTAGCTTATGTAAGATTTTATTGAAGTGGTTGACCTGTTTTCAAGCGAAACCATATTTGGAAAACGGCTATGAGCAACGTGCTTCCCATGTTTTGCATATTACTTCACTATTAGGAAAATTGTACGCTGTATGTATATATGTATTCAGTAGGAACAATAGCACAACTGAAGGGTTGGAGAAATCGGTAGGAAATCCAGTCTTAGAGTTTTGTAAAGTTGCCACGACACTGGAAGTTTTTGCCGCCAAGAGTGTTGGAGAGTTGTTGGATTGTTCTTTAAAGCATGGAGTTTATGAAAGTTTCCGTATTTGGCTATTGCATGTATTGGAACTGGTTCCCCACAGAATAGAAGTGCTTACTATGTTGTTTCGTCTTCTGTTGGAGCCTCTGAAGACTTCTTTTGCTACTCATACTAATCATCGTATGGTTATTTTTGGTCAATTATTTTCTATCTCGAAGCTTTTATCTTCATTACCGGATAGCCTCGCCTATTATTTGATCCGTAGTTTGGGGATAGAAGAAATAATATCTCAGCTATCGCGAGACGAAAGATTATTGACTGAAGTGTTATCAAAGTATTTCTATTCTTCACGTCAAGTGGTAGGATTATTGGATAATTTAATTTACATAATGGAGCACCTGCTAGAATCATCGCATAAGGAAGATATTTCCTTCATGGCATCTTACGTTATTTTATTGAGCTCTTGTACGAGCACCTTGCAGAATGATAAAATATTCATGAATAGAGAAGAAAAGGGCCAGAAACAGAAGAACATGGAAGGCAGTATAGGAATGGATGAAATGTATTCTCTGTACCAGCAAGTGCTTAACAGCATGAAGTCGTTCTTTAAAATAGAAAATATACGAAATCTTTTTAGGACTCTTTTATGCGAAGCTGATTCGATTCAGAACTCTACTATAATTCGCTTGAGCAATTTTATGTGGCACTTTGCACGCATGGATGTTGGTTTAGAACATAATCTCATTACTGCCTTGGCTTTTTGGCCTGCTCGAGAAGATCAGGAACATGTATTGGTGAAATTGTGGTCTCTTTGTTCGTTGGAACAAAATTTAGAGTTGTTCTCTAGTAACAATTATACACTTGGAGAAAGAAGCGTACCTTTTACACTTTTCTGTAGAGCTTTCACGCGTTTAGTTTATTTTCAAGATAATGAAGAATTTTATCAACGACAAAAGCCTTTCTCTTTGGAAAAGGTCCGTACCATTGCTTCTCTTGTGAAACAAGTTCTCTTTAGAGCTTTATGGTCTCCAGCAGGTTCAGTGAATCCATCACCTAATCCTGCCTTTGTTTTTAACAATGTTGATGGAGCATTGGAAGCAGCTGCACGGCTTTTAGCTGTTTTACGCTCGAGAGATTCGAAACAGCGTTTTGCAAAGGAAGGCTTTTGGGAAACTGGCGGTGGAATATTTGTTTCTGATACTTTTATTGTTGATGCAGCAAAGTCAGTCATGGAATTGGAATATGCCAACGAAGATAGAAGTTGGTTTGAACAGATGGACGAAGGCTCATTCCCTTCGAGAAATTATGGTTCTATGAAGAGAAATATAAACGTGCTTCAACTTTCAAATGCTGCGCGGAATATTCTACGCTTAGCACCGTTCATGATTCCTTTTGAAAGCAGGTTGAAAATATTTCATTACTGGATTCAAAAGGAGAAGGAGCAAGTCGACTTAAGCGTTCATGGATTTTTTGGAGTGTTTGAGCAGTCGGGCACGTGGGTTACTATCAGAAGAGATTTTATCGTGGAAGATGCATTTGCTGCTTTAAACTCTATGCGCGATCGATTGAAGCAAACGATAAGATTGAAGTTCATCGATACTCATGGATTAGAAGAAGCGGGAATTGATGGAGGCGGTGTTTTTAAGGAGTTTATGCATCAACTTATTGCTCAAGCACTTTCACCTTCACTATATGGGTTATTTAGAGCTACTTCTGAAGGGAAGCTGTATCCGAATCCAGCTAGTCACGTGTTGGTTGGTCCTATTCACTTGGAAATGTTTGAGTTCCTTGGAAGAATGTTGGGCAAGGCAATATTTGATCGTATTTTGGTCGATTTGCCACTTGCTACTTTTTTCTTATCCAAACTTTTGGGAGAACCCAATTATACGGATGACTTGGAAAGTTTGGACCCGGAAATGTATAAGAATTTGATGTATTTAAAGGTAAGATCAAATACTTTGTTCTCATTGGGATACTTATCTGCTGGTTGTTAGCATTGTGATAGCAAAACAGTAGAAGAAATGAATTTGACATTTACTATAATGGATAATGAATATGAAGGTGGTAAAGAGGTTGCTCTAATACCGAATGGGCAGGATATATCAGTAACTGCTGAAAATAGAATAGAGTATATTAATCGTGTTGCACATTATCGAATGAATGTTCAAATCAAACAACAGTGTGACGCATTCCTAAGAGGTCTTTGTGATGTTGTCAGTCGACAGTGGATTCGAATTTTTTCACCTCATGAAATGCAGTTGTTGATTTCCGGGGTAACTGAAAAGCTCAATGTCATAGATTTGAAACGATATTGCCACTATAGTGGTGGTTATCATGAAAATCATCGAGTTATCAGTTGGTTTTGGGAGGTTTTCGAAGAACTATCGTCTGAGAAACAAGCCAACTTGTTACAGTTTGTTACCTCTTCTCCTCGAGCTCCTCTTTTAGGTTTTCGTTATTTGGATCCAGCGTTTACTATTCATCGAGCAGAAGCTGATGATTCACGTCTTCCAACTGCATCAACTTGTATGAACCTTTTAAAGTTGCCAGAATATAGCTCGAAAGAAGTCCTTAAGAACAAACTGCTGTATGCTATTCAAACTCACACTGGTTTCGATTTGTCATAAGTAGTGAAGTAGGGAAGTAACATAGGAGAGAGAAACCCTACAATTTAATAGCATTTTAGCTTTAAAAACTTAGCTATGGAAACAAGACGATATAGAAATATCAAGGAAAATATTGCCAAGGTGGAGGATAATCCGAAGCATCCGTAGCAAATATATAACTGCAATCAACGACATGTCGTTCTCGACCCGTTCCATCCAATTTTCTATGATGAGATGAACAAAATCTAGGAGAAACAAACGCTTCTCTCTTCTGTTGCAAAAAAGACTCAAAGGACGCGGTATGTTCTGAAGAACACTGTTCTCTTGTAGACTCAACGGACCCACCAGTTGGCTGCTGACTTTGAAGAATTCGGTTCTCTTCGTCTTTGCGGATAAAACGCCCTCGTGGGCCTCGAATTCTTCTTTCTGCAAGCTGTTTTCTCATTTGGTATTTAACTATGCGACTGGAGTTGCGGCGTCTTTTTTTCTCCCGGTATTTTTTTATGCTTTCGCATCGCCTTTGTCTTGTTTCTTGTGCTCTGTTGACAGCATACGCATGGTATTGTGCTAGAATAGTGAAGAAATCGGAAGAAAGAGGAGCTTGTGGATACGAGGGCAGATTTTGTATTCCGGGAAAGTTCCATGATTGATGTGGATAGCAGTACTAGAATAGGGTGTTTACGCGCGACGTTTTCGGATTGAACGTTGTAACTTACCCGAGATGGCATTGCAACTAACTGGGACGGTCGCCATTCTTCGATAGTCTCTTCTAGTCCTGGACTGTTGGTGGCTGGTGTGTGCTCATAACTTCTTTCTTCGGAAGATCCTGCATGCAAATTTCTCCGCGAATAGTTTGGATTATTCTCATATAGATGGCTTGTGTCATGTAGTGAAAATGTTCCAACCCGAAAATGATGATGACCCCGTGTAGGAGTTTCATGTTGTCGAGACTAGCAAAGAAAAGTTACAAATATGCGAAAAAACCGGAACCCCGTAAACTTACAGATTCACCTTGACTTTGTTCCTGTAACTGACGTTCGTCAAACATTTGCTGTTTCATAAAGACGATATAAAGTGGTCATTATTAACAGAAAAAGCTACCTGTACAAGATTGGAACCTAAAAACACCGTTGTTTCTACTGAATGACCCCCTTCTTTCACTATACAGAATATCCTAGAATGTGCACAAACTGACACTAAATTTTGTATCATATGTCCACATATAAACATCTCAGTTGCTGCTACTGTGGAGGAGAAGGATCCGTCATCTGTCAAATAGAAAAATGCTAAGATGACATGGCGCCATTTCGATTTGGCATTTTTCTAAACATCAGACTTTCGAAGAGTACTTTGTTCATTCAACCGACTACAAACATAATCTATATTCAGGCTTTCTTCCTTTATGAATGCCTCCATAATCTTTGCGAACCTAGTATTGGTGAAATAATGTAGAGAGTGTACTATTTCTGGATTGAAACCACGCACAAACTTGAAGTCTCCTCCTCCAGCTCCTGGTTCAACTGACTGCAAGCCTTTTTCTATACAGTATTCGATGGGTTTATAATAACAGGTTTCGAAATGCAATCCTGAAACTTGCTCCAAGCACCCCCAATATCTTCCATGAAATCGACCGTTTTTGATCATGTTGAAGGTTCCAGCTATGAGTTTGTCATCACGGTATGCTACAATGAAACATAGGTATTTTCTATAATTTTCTGCAAGGTATTGAAAAAATGATGGACTTAGATAGAGTCTCCCATAAAAGAATCGGTCTATTGTGCTTTTATACAACTGATACATTTGACTAAACAATTCAGAGGGAATTTGATGAGCCAACAAAACTTGTAGACGAATGTTCTCCTCATCATATATTCTTCTTCTTTCACGTTTGACCTGAATTCTTTTTTTGCTTTTCATCATTTGCAGAAACTCATCAAAATTATGAAAAGGACGACCATTGCAATCATTTCGAAAGTGATATTGTATACTTTTCCTATGCAAAAAGCCATGCCGTGTGAATATGGACACTTCGTCATCTGCCACGAAATTTAAGTTGATTGATGCTATCGATAATTCACTGACCAAGTCTTTCAAACATTCAGCCATTTGAGACAAGAGATAAGGTCTCTGCATTTCAGATATTGTCAGGATTCGTCTTGAAGTAACTGGAGTAAAAGGCACCATGCTTATCAATTTAGGATAATATTTCAGCGACAATGAGGAAGCAACGTCTTGCCATACATAGTCGAATATGAATTCTCCAAAGGAATGTGTTTTTACATAAAGTGGAAGGACTGCATAAATAGTTTTCGAGTTTGGGTCTTCAAGCAATAGATGTAAAGGTTGCCACCCTACCTGTTCAGAAACACAACCACACTTTTCTAAGCCAAAGAGCCATTCATATTCAGTGAACGGACATGAATCCTCGGATATCAGCTGATTCCACTGTTCTGGTCTAACTTGTTCCATACTTTTGATCAACCTGGGAACAAGAGTTGGCAGTGGTCTTTCCAAGTGACCTGTGGACGCCAGAGGTTCTTTTTCCAAGCAGGTGATATATCGATTGGGACTACACACAAAAAACTTGCTGCAACAACGACTGTCTTTCCGGTTCTCCTTGAGGTACTGGAAAAGCTTGTATTTTGTATGGGTAGAAACGGAGTGGCAAAGTAGCCAGCAGAGTTGCATAGTTCTTGATATCACAACAATGGTTAGGAAAGAAACCCAATTTGCCTCTTGTCACTTTAGAGGAGATTAGAAATGATCTATTCAATATCATTCACTCCTAACAAATAGATCAAGTAATCCAAAGTGAAAACAGCTTTTATAGTTGTATTAAATGGTGAAATTTTCAATCAGACACCTTTCGCTTCCTTACAAAGTGAACACGCGTACACGATGTCATACAATCCTTATATATCATGTTACTCGACTGTACGCAAAAATGTTATCTTTAGCCAAGATAAAATATAGCATTCATAATGTTTTCTTAGTTGGAGTTTATCTATAAAATGTGATGATGAGGAATTTGAAGAGCTGAACATCTCTCAAGAAAAGTATCCACACATCATTTATCCAAAAATGAGTAAAATGAAGCTTGGTTCCATGACGAAAACCAAAGAATGCTCATCCAACTATAATATTCACAATAGTCATTTAGGAATCTTTTACTTTCAAGATAGCTCCTTGTTGGGTTTTGTGACTCAAAGTCTTTAAGCCTATAAAGTCATCGTTCGATTCCCACAGACTTTCTCATACTAGAGCGATTCGTGGCAATTAGATCATCCCACAGAGAGAAGCTGGTCAATTTCAACTTTTATGTATTGTCATTGAACATTGCCCGTTTTGTGTTTCTAATGTACCCTCCTTATGTTTATTATATAGCTTATGCTGGACCCTTTTGTACTTTTATGAGTCTTAACTACAACTCTAGTTTCGGAAAATGGTGTTCGATAGGATATGTTTTTATTATGGTTCCTTTAATGGATTTCTTGTTGGGTAATTATATACTTTGCTCTTCAGCATCACTAGTCATAGGGTAGTAGGTGAAGATATGAATAACCCTACAGAACAGGAAGAAGAATATTTTGCAACCAGTTTTCAATACAGACTGCCTTTACTATTATGGCTTCCAGTGGAGTTTCTTCTCATTACCAAAGGAGCTATTGTAGTCAGCAGCTCTTGTAGCTGGACTTGTTGGTTAACCAGCACGATATCTGTAGGTCTCATGAGCGGTGTGGGAATTACCTGCGCACATGAGTTGGGTCATAAGACTTCTATCACCTGTTCTTTATTTTCAAAGAGTTTATTATTGTTAGCTTGCTTTGGTTGTTTCACTATTGAACACAATTATGGACATCATAAGAATGTTGGTACTGAAGAAGATCCGGTAAGCTTATTTCCATTCCATTTTGGAGGAAAGAATTGAGCGAGTTTTAAGACAACAGCCAAATACAATGAGTCTTTTTACCGTTTTGTGTTCCGTGCCATATATGGTGTTGTGAGAGATGCTTGGAAAATCCAAGTCAAGGCATTAAGACGTAGGGGTTATTCTGGCGTTGAACTTGTACTGAGAAATGAAGTTTTCCAAGATACTTGTTGCAGTTTGGGCATTGGCTTTACTTATTGCTTGTTGTTTGGAAAGAAGGCCATGATTTTCTTTTTTGCACAGACAGTTATTGCTGTTTCTTTATTGCAACTTGTCAATTACATCGAACATTATGGTTTGGTACGACGAAAGCTTTCCAATGGAACATACGAGCCGGTGAATATATGTCATTCATGGGATGCTCCTCATAAGTTTACCAATTTTTCTCAGTTCAAGTTACAACGACATTCTGATCATCACAAGGATCCTTTGCGACCATATCAGTTACTGAGAACATGGGAACCAACTCCAAAGCTTCCTTATGGCTATCCAACTATGATTGTAATAGCACTTGTTCCTTTTGTCTTTTTTCGATTGATGAATCGTTTGGTTCCTCGTTATGAGTCGAGTCTGACATAATAGAATAATGGAATGTCATCATCCAGCATTGAATGAGGAGCTTCAAAACTTTTTGGTAGATATATATGGTAAAGACAACTTTCATGGGTTGTGTAGAAAACTTTCGGTACCACCTCCAACTACTTTCCGTGTCAATACGTTGAAAACAACAGCTGACAAATTCTGTGAGAGTCTACGAGAGAGAGTGATAAGACAGGCAAAGCACCGACAAGTGGACGAGAAAGAGTTGGCAAAACTAAGAGTAATAGTTCACCCCAAAATAAAGGACGTGATTCAACTTGATACTCTTGGACCTTTTGACAGGGATACTCAAGGTTTACCTGTTGCTTGTGTAGATAGTTTTTGTGGAGAATCAGTAAGTCAAGGGGATAGAGTGATGAAAGGATTTGAAAGTTCTCTAGGTCTTTCGAGGTGCCGATGTTTACGCTGGTGGAATAGTTGCCCTAGAAAGCAGTGCCGCAGTGAATCAGTTGGTTCAAGTTTGGATGGATCCCTTTGGCGCCATTACTCGAGGCTCGACACAGTTTGATACCAGCAGACTAATATATGTTGGCAACGGTTTGTTGTTACAAAGCAGAAGAGAGATATTCCACAGTTCTGTTTGTGAAGGATTAGCTATTCAAATAGTTGAACCTGTCTATTTTGCTCCTTCATTATTTGATATTGTTTCGCAAGGTATTGGTATCCTTCAGAATTTGCCTTGTACTGTAGTTGGCCACGTTATGGATCCAAAACCTGGCCAAAGGATATTAGACCTCTGTGCAAGTCCAGGAGGCAAAACTAGTCATTTGGCTACTTTGATGCATAATCAAGGTACTTTGGTTGCTTTGGATCGTAATCGGAAGAAAGTCGAAGCTATTGAAAGTCTTTGTAAGAAATGGGGCATTGATATTGTTTATTCATATGTGGTGGATGCAACCAAGTTTAGGAACTATATCCAAGAGTTTTCTTCAGAACAAGATCATTTCTCTGTCAAGCCACCTTTTATTCGAGAGTCCTTTGACAGTGTTTTGGTAGACCCTCCTTGTAGTGCTTTTGGTCTGAGACCCAAGTTTCAGTATACTCTTAGTATGAAAGATTGGAAAGGGTTTTCCCGTTTTCAGAAGATATTTTTATTAGCTGGAATATTGTTGTTAAAGCCAGGAGGTTGCCTTGTGTATTCCACATGTACTTTGGATCCTTTGGAAAATGAAGAAAATATAGCCTATTGTCTCGAACACTTTCCGGTGGAGTTGATTGAACAACCAATATATGTTGGAGGTAAAGGTTGCTCTGGTTTTGGGAATTTATCACAAAAAGATTGTGAGAAACTTCAAAGATTTGATCTTTTAGATGAAGAGAATGACACTNGTGGCTTTTTCTGTGCAAAATTGATGAAAACGCATTCTTATCGATAATATCTCTTGGGAAAAGATTGTGCATGTTTCTCATAGGAAGACTTGGCTTCATTTTATGGGATAAGAAGGTCTACAAAGACTTGAAGTTTCCTTATCCAAAGGCTTTTATTTGGAGACAAGGAACTATCAGGTCCTTTGTTACTAAAGCTCCAACCAGTGCTAACGGCATCGTGGATCCTTATGATCCTTCATTAGAGTGGAAGCCTTGGTATGTGGATGTTACGAAGAGGATCTTAGCTTCATTGAGAGATGTTCAAGCCATGGCAGTTATGCAGAAACAAATTGGTAGATTTAAGGTAAGTCTTTGTTTTATTGGGTGGAATCACCTTAAGATTCCCCAAGGTAAAGGAATTTAAGGAAGAAGCGTTTCAAATTTATCGTCAAGTGAATGAAGCTTTTGCAGCGGGGAATAAGAAACTATTATTTCAGTACACAACTCCTTTAACTTTTAAAGAGTTTTGTATAGCTCTGGATGGTCGTCCTCCTTTAGAAAAACATGTTTGGAAGTTGGGAAAACTTGTTGAGTCTCAAGTGGTGAGGACGAGAGTTTTTCGTTGGAGAAGTGGCAATAAGAGAGATATTTGTGCACAGATTACTCTTCGGTTATATCTTTCTAGGGCTTTAGGAGTCTACAATAGCAAAGGAGATAGGATAGTGGGAGATGCCAACAAACTGGAACATATTACCGAATATGTAGTATTCCAGAGAAGTTTATATCTTTTAGAAGATTTTTCTTGGAAATATGTCGGTAGGATCCAAATCACAAAGGAATAGCTAGACCATCAGCACGTGGGTCGGATCCTGCACAAAAAGCTCCATTTTGTAACCGTTGAATGATCTGACCACGTCCAAATACTGCTCGATCGTGGTTTCTTATGGGACCTGCAATGGGATGCCCTTTATCTTTCAATTGTTGAATGACTTGATGAGATATTCCATCTTCTATATCCACTAAGTGGTCTTCTATATTGGATGATGCTTGTGCTTCAAACTTGCCATGTATGCAGAATCTGGAGGCATCCAAAGCTTCTTGTGGATTCATATTCCAATCCACCTTTCTCAACTCAGTTTTCGATAAACTATCGATGTCATTATTCACTACTTACCATATTACTCAATACTTGAACATGTCCTTGAGGCTGCATGAAACCTCCCATAACACCAAAAGCTGCATAAAGGTCTCCATTGTTCTTCATCGTAGCCAATCCAGGTATTATAGTATGATACGGTCTCTTCCTAGGAGCTAATACATTGGGATGACTTTTATCAAGTGAAAAGTTCAAACCACGATTATGTAAAGTAAATCCACAACCATTGGGAACAATACCTGTTCCAAATCCAACAAAGTTAGAATTGATCATACTACAGGCATTTCCATTTCCATCAACTGCACAAAATTGAACAGTATCTGAGAACGATAGATTCATAGGACCTAATTCCTTTGGTGACAATGCTCGGTTACTAATCTTATTGGCCAATTGATTGGCAAACGATTTGGATAACAATTCAGCAACGGGTATTTTATGATGCAAAGGATCAGCAACATATCTGCTTACATAAGCAAAAGATAGCCGGAGACTCTCAATTAAGCCATGTAAATGTTCAGCATCATGAAAATGTTGCCAATGGGAAGGATAAGCTTCCAAAATATTGAGTGCTATCAAAGCTGCAATTCCTTGTGTCGGTGGAGGAACTTCCCATACATACATGTCTCGATAACTTGTTCTTATCGGTTCTTGAAAATCACTGCGATGGGCTGCAAGATCTTGCCTAGTCATAAAACCTCCTAATTGTTGAATCGTTTCCACAATGGCATGTGCAATAGTTCCACCGTTGTAAAAGGCATCCTTTCCTTCCTTTGCTAGTTGTTCAAAAGTACTTGCAAGATCAGGATTCTTGAAAATATCTCCAGCTTTGGGTGCACGGCCTTCACATAGAAATATAGAACTTGCACCTTTTGCTGACTTCAACAAGTCTATGGAGTTATTCCAGTGATAAGCTGCAATAGGAGAAACAGGAAAACCATCCTAACCATAGTCTATACACAAAGTTTCATAGTCAATATTCTAAACTTACTCTTGCAAGAGAAATAGCAGGGTCTAATATCTCTCTTAGTGTTAGATTACCTGAACCAAAAGTTGCAACAGTATCTATCCATCCTGCAGCAGCACCTGGAACTGGAATGGTGTGTACACTCGTAGGAGGCAGTGGATTCTCTGGTCCGTATCCAGCTTCCAATACTCTGTCTAGCGTAAGTTGTTCCGGTGTTGATCCATTTCCAAGTAAAGCCTGTACTCTTTTCGTCTGGTTGGAATAAAATAAGACAAAACAGTCACCTCCTACACCAGTTGAACAAGGTTCAGTAACGTTCAACGCAGCTGCTATTGCTACCGCTGCATCAGCTGCATTCCCACCGGAAGCAAGAATCTTTGCTCCAGCAGCACTAGCCAAAGGTTGAGAACTTGCACATATTCCTTGAGTACTATAAACTGGAGACCTTCGGGAATGAAAAGGTAAACTGGAATACATTTCTCTCTCTCTCTCTCTCTCTCTCTCTCTCTTGAAGTACATTCATTTCTTCTTTTGGATTTAACTAGTGAAAGATATTGATGATGATTGCTCAAGTCTCAGATAAGAAATTGACAACTCTCTGTAAAGACAATACACTTTTCATATGAAACGAAGCATAACCGTCATAGGCGTTTTGGAACAAGTTGATAGAGAATGGAAACTGAGAAAATAGCAATCATGGCTGCTCATACAACTCGTTTGAGTGAAAGGAAAGATAAGAAAGAAACGTGTGGAAGACCATACTAAGTGAATATGAGAATAATTCAGTACAACAGAATGGGCTACAACAGTCAAGTCTTTGGTTTGATACATGAATGACTTGCAACTTTGCCAAGAAACATACAACAGGAAACTGGTAGAAAGACAATATGACAGTTCTAAAAGGTTCTTTTTATTTTTCATATCGTTTCAAAAGAACAAAGGTTTTTTAGTGAAAAGTCAACTACCTGAGAAACGAAATACCCAAGCAACAACAGAGCAACTTCATTTGGTCTTCTTCTTGTTGGCTTTAAAGAAGGTTACGTCTATTCGGCCTTCCATTCCTGTCTCTTGTGTCGGATGAAAGGAAGGAAACATTTCTTCTATGGGAATTGTATTTACTTTGATATTTTCAAAGCCATTCTTTTCCAAAAGCTTTTGAAGACTAGACTCTGTATGATAAAATCGATAACCATTTTCTCCAGCAGAAGACTGACCAGGATTATCTGTTTTCGTAGGAACATAACCCAACAAGCATCCATCGGCCTTTAAGAGAGAAGCAACGTTTTCAACAGCTACTTTTGCTAGCGCTTCATCAAAGGAATGCAAAACAGAATTCACCAGAACGAGGTCGCAGGGAATTAGATGATACCTTTCTTGGATAAAAGTTGCCAAGTCGGTATCCAAAACACTCTTTGCAAAAAATCTTGAAGCCAACTCTGATCCAGTTTCTTCAAACAGTTGGAAACCCAACGATATAAAATCTTTCGACACATCAAAGGCAGCTAGGTTTTGGTATTCCAACCCATCTAAAAGCATCTGTCGAGTATCCAATCCCAAGCAGCAACCAACGTCTACAACTTTTTTATCCTTCAAACCGCCGTGTTGTTGCAAATATTCTTCGTAAAAAGGATTTTTGTACAAATGGGTTTCCAAAAAGTACAGTTGTGAGATACAACTAAGCTCAATTAGATATACGTAGCAAGTTCATAAGAACACACCCACCCATAGCAAATACCCTTCTTGTTGATGGCCTCTTCTTTCACTTGTTGAGCTCTTCTCAAGATCTCTTCAGTCGAACAACCTTTGAATAAGGCTTTGGTTCTTTCATCCACTGAAATGGAATGCGCCATTTCTAAAACAACAAATATTTCGGTCCGATTGTTGTTGAGAAATGCGTGTACTAAAGTATCACGAGTTCAAGTTACTAAAGAAAGCAGACTTTCTACAATGGAAAAAGGAAAGAAACTTGCACGAAACAAGAATCATTCGAAGATATCGTATACAAAGACCCGAGGTATGTAAGTTGGATTCTCTGAAAGCTAAGCATAGACGGTGCAAAGGACTATCATCAATATAACAAACTATGTGGGCGCATTAAGAAGTTGGCTGAAAAAATCAAAGAGTTGGATCCTTCTGACAAGAAAAGAGTAGAGTATACGGATATTTTATTGGAAAAACTGTATGAAATGGGTATTATTCCTTTGAAGCGTAGTCTCGAACAGTGCGCCAAGATTACTGTAAGTAGTTTCTGTAGGAGAAGACTTGCTGTGGTACTCGTTCGTTTGAAATATGCAGAGAACTTGAAAGAAGCAACCACTTTTGTGGAACAAGGGTATGTATTTCTTTCTCATAAGTAAAAGTTGCAAGTTTACCCTTTGTCACATAGGCACATAAGAATAGGACCTCATCAAGTAACGGACCCAGCTTTGTTGGTCACAAGAAATATGGAAGACTTTATTACTTGGACCGACCATAGCAAAATCAAACGAAAGATACTTCAGTATAATGACCAACTGGACGACTATGACTTGCTATAAAATTATGAACTTAAATGCTTTGTCAAAAGGGCTTTAAGACGGTCAGGTTTTCCTTGTGATTTTGGTCTCTTTTTAATAGATTTGTGTATCGAGTATGACTGCACGTGAACCGCTGGTGGAATAGTCAAACCAAAACTTTTCGCAACTGCTTTCAAATCCAACGCTTCCATATTGAAAATGTGCTTCATATGATGAGATGCATATGCCAAAAGATAGGAGCGATATGCTTCCTTCGCACTCTTATGCAAATAATAGTTCTTAGCAATCAAGCTTTCTAGTTGACTCTGAATATTTGCTAACTTGCTGGTCGCTATTTCGTATTCATGTAAGGGAACTTTTGCCTGTCTAAGATAATGCAGAAAGCCTTTTTCTGAAGGTAGCAAGAACAAAAGAGCACGACTAGGACGTCTTAAAATACAAAACCTAATGGACAGCCAAACACTTACCCTTTTCCGTCAACTCCACGTGCAGTTCGACCTACTCGATGAATATACTCTTTCGGTTCGTCGGGAGGATCATATTGGACAATCCAATCGACAGCAGGAATATCTAAACCACGTGCAGCAACGTCAGTACAAAGTAAAATAGCACTCTGTGCCTTGCAAAATTCAAAAAATGTATTCGTTCTCTTCTGTTGTTTCTGTCTCCCTATTATGTTGTCTTCAGTGTTCTCATTCAGATATACGATAATCTATCTTACCATGCAACTCTAAAACTGGAATGTCTATGAAATTCAACAATTCCGCATAAAACTTGACGACATTGCAGCTAGAGAAAAACACAATAATTTTCTTCTTTGAATTTCTTTTGAGAAATGTAAACAACGTCTGAAATCGAACTTCAGCTGAGCATACGAGAAAGCCTTGTTCTAATCCAGATACTGTGGCAGTCTCTCGTTTATCATCCACACCTACATAAATTGGTTTATTTTTGAAGGAAACCTTGATTAAATCTTCAACTCGAGTAGTTTGTGTTGCTGAGAACAAAAGCGTTTGTCTGTCCTTTGGAAGGATCCTCAGAATTTCATGCATTTCTTCCTCAAATCCGATATCTAAACAACGGTCTGCTTCATCAATAACCAAAACCTGTAAATTCTTAAATAGGAAACCTCTCGTGTTCTGCAAATGATCCAACAGTCTTCCTGGAGTGGCTACAATAATAGTGGTTCCTTTTGTTAACTTTTCCACTTCTACTTTTCGATTTGAGCCTCCCATAACGACACAGTGGGAATGAGGATGGTGACTGCACAACTCTGATAGCACGTTGTGTGTCTGCAGAACCAGTTCTCTTGTAGGAGCTATGATGACGGCAGCAGTTCCCATTTTATTTGGCCATTTCACTTTGCTCAAGAGTTCTACGATAGGGATCAAAAATGCAAGAGTTTTGCCTGAACCAGTTCGTGCGGCACCCAATACGTCTCTTCCTCCTAAAGCGTGTGGAAGACATCTTGCTTGAACCTCTGTCATGTATGTAAAGTGCATTTCTTCTAAAGCAGCTAGTGTCTCTTGTGATATTTGTAAACTTTCAAAAGTTTCATCTGTAAGTAAAGTATCTGAGTGTGACTCTAGTGGTCTCTTTCGTTTCATTGCTTTTGATCCCCACAAGCGGACGATCAATCAATTCTTTATAATTTTCTGTTTCTGCGACAATTATGAAGTAAAAAGAAGAATGGCGCCAAAATGTCTTAGGCAAACATATGAGAAGCGTCTTTCCACCTCTCTCTATCTCTTCTTTGTGCTTCATATATAGGATTATCGGTTGGTAACTCATGCCTACATAAAGGACAGGAATTATGCTACAACCACGTCAGTTTCTATACAGTTCAAACAAAAGTTTTTCCAGCACCTGTCGGAACCAACTTAAAATACACGCAGAGTGATATAAATGTTGACAACTGAACAGAACATGTGTCATTGCAAGTGCTCTCGTAAGCCATACTTACGGTAGTTGCTTTGCCTCGTCACCCGGCTGAAATGAGTCCGCACATACCACACAAACCGAGTTATCACTTGGAATATCTTCAGTCAACTACCAAAGAAGTTGAGTAAACAACAACACCAAACAATTCTCTATCTTACTTGTAAAGTTCTGAGTTCCTCTATAGCCTTTTTGGAAACTGGCAGTAGGGGAGCTTGGTTGGTCAGCCAAGATAAGAGATTCCCTCTCCAATCTCCCTCTTCTTCCGCATTATCCTCTATTTCCAGTGTATTCATCCAGTCTACCAATTCAGATACCTGTAAAGAGACTCTACTTTCTTCTCCGGTTTCCATTTGAGAAGAAGATACCAAGTCATGGTCCTCATCATAGGAAGCCATCTCAAATGAAGATAAGGTTTGGGCCAAAAATCGCAAATGAAAGCCAAGCTAACGGAAAAGATATGTATCACTGGACTCTGCTCATAACCTTTCCACAATATATTCTATAAATATCGCTTGAGAGAAGATGTGAAATAAGATTTTTTACGGTGAAAATGTCTTGCAAGGAATTAATTGTGGCTCATGAAGTGTGTTTCATTTTTAAGGCTTTCTTGTCCCTTTTGAAATGGACCGTCGACGAGGGCATTGATTGGTTGTGTTTGTTGCTCTATCGAAAATGTCGACACTGGGATACTTTGTTCGTCGATTGACCACTTTTAAAGATAGAACGTTTATTTCAAAGACTTGGAAAAGATATCTTTCGGAAGAGCTGGGACCAAAATACTATGCAGAGGAATCTTCTGTTACGTTAACTGAAACGCCTTCCGAACTTGCTGACAGATACCTTCAGTCGTTACTGAGACGTGCAACGGCAGGAAATGAAGATAAGACTTCAAAGGCACCTCTATGGGAACTTCCTGGGGACGTTGTACGACCGGCTCCATCCAGTACACATTCTTCTAATAGCTTGGATTCAGATCAGCAAATCGTACAACAAGTGAGAGCACTCTTCCACGATCACAAAGATGTCGGTTTGGGAAGTGCACGACCCAAATTTAGAGAGATGTTTACACATAGAGTTGCTGGAGAGGTCGCAAAGCAAATACGAAGACTGTTGCTGGAACCGAGATTCCGTCTCATCGAAACTCTTGCCACCGACTTATCGCCAAATGTAGCAGATATGGAAAAGAGTGTTGAATATTTGAAAGTGCAAAGAGAGCAGTCACCCACCACTCCAGAGACTGGAGAGAATTGGAAAGATTCAACGGGGGAAGATTCTTTGGAAGCAAATGAGGAAATAGAACAACCTATAGAGGATGTTCCAGCTTCTGATCGTTTCCTTGCAGTTAGAGAGCAGTTAACACCTCCATTTTACAGAGTTTTCAAAGCAATGTTGGATCATCCAGAAGGAGTTATGGCTGTTTTACAGCTTCGAACGGTAATGGGCTATCGTAAAGAATTAATGGATCCTTTTCGAGTTGCTGTGCACAGACATTTGAAGTATCTCTCCAATCGTTTGGTTCTTGACTTGTTTCGTGAGGATATGTTGGTTTTAGAAAGTTCCAATATTGACTCGAATGCAAGGACCATCATGTTTTCTTATAATGACTGGAGACAGGAATGGAATCCTCGTCGAACCATTTTCGAGCTTTTAGAACGTCTCAACAAAGGTTGCAAAGTTTTCAATTTGAAGCACAAGTCACAACCATTGCTTACGATGGCGACGGCACACGTTGCATTTTGTGAACAACTTCCGGCAAGTGATGAAGAAGTTGGAAAGTTATGTGAACCGTATCGTTCCGATCGAGCACTTCATCCTGTAATCAATCATATCCGAGTTCGTTCACTTTTAGGAGGTTTAGATATGGAGCAAAAAGTTATCAATCATATTCTCTATAAGGATTTGCCTTTGCGGATGAACTACAATGGTGATGTTTATACGCTGTCTGTTGTGCGACGATTTGTTTCTTGGCTATTCCACCAAATGAAACTCTTTAATGGATCTGCAGCGCCTAGTTTTCAGGATAGAATGGTCCTATCTGCAGATGATGCAGCAGTAGTGAATACTATTTTAGAAGTTTTGAAGGACAATACTACAGATACTGCTCAGGTTTTAGACCCTGCAGCAGTTGAAGATCAGTTGATTCGGGCCAAGGATACCATCATGAAACTTTGTGCGTATTATATTCTTCGAGCTGATGGTTATGTGATTCGTTGTTCCGATCCAGTCGCCCGAATTCATTTTAGTAATGGTGCTGAGTTATATCGTATAAACTACATGGCTGATGTTTCCAGGTCGAGACTTCGAGAAAGCCTTGGTATTACTGTAAACTTTAGGTATCGTTTACAAGACCAGGAACGTAATATACTTAGATTTTATAAGGGTGAACCTGCTCCTGCTTGTAGTGAGTTGGGACAGTGGATTCCTGTAGTAGACAGTATGTATGAAAACGGAAAGACTGCATAAGAAAATAAAGTGTTGAGATTCATTCGCATTTTGAGGATTTACGTACTCGAAAGAGATATGCAAGTTGGTTCACCTAAAGGCGCGTTCCAAAGCTACCTCAATGAAAAGGGTGAACTAGCTCAAGCCTTCCCAACAAGACTCCATTCTAGTTTGGAAGTCTTTGACTGGCTATTCTGTGATAAACCGGAGGAAGGTTTTCAGGTGGAACGTTTCGAAAAGCAACTGCTATGTATATCAGGATATTCTTATTCCAACGGTTCACACAAGGAAAAGGTTTCCCAGAATTACTTGGTCAAGTGTTACAAAGACGGTTTTCTATTTTTATATGTAAGAATACAATTTTTGGGACTTTGAAGCCACTCATTCTTGTACTTTATTAGTGTCTGAACGACTTGAGTTGGTCCCACTATGCAATTCCTATACCGTTACAAAAATATGCTCCTAATATAAGCCGCTCTGTATTCGATGTATACACAGGTGAACGCTTTGACTTTCATATACTAAGTAATGGAATGGTGTTGACTGTCTTGGCGCAGGTAAGTAGTAAACAAAGGAAGGAATGGTCAAGTTTTGTTTGTCTAACGCAGAGCCTATCTCGTTATCTCTTTTATATTTATATGTATATTTGCAGTATGCTACTTCTTGTGTGACGCTTCATAACGCTGTCTTATGGCATCCAATGCAGCCAGGGTTTCCGCCTTCACGAAGGATATATGCTGTGGAAGTTGTTAAAATGAGTAATTGTTACCTTTGTCAACAGTCTTCAAGCAAATGTCAGTGTGTGCAGAACCAACGAAGATTGAACTTGTCTTCCAGTCGCACAACTCAAGTCAGGATAAACTCTAGCGAAAGAGAATGGACGTCAAGTGGTTCAAAGTCATCGACGAGGACTCCATTAGATAATGGGAAAAGAGCAAGTAGTAGCGAATATTCACATTCCAGTTCAGTAACTGACTTAAACACTGGAAGCAGTTCTTCAGCTAACCTTAATTATGTCGTTGATCCCAACACGATAAAGACCCTTTTTGGTCCCTGGAAAGGAACAAAGAGAGTTATTGTTTATAATCCAAATACTGGTCAGATTCAAAGAGAGCAGAGGAGTTTTTTCCGTTTACAACTCGATTGGGCAGCAGCTTTGGAAGTTCGTCAAGTACAGACCAAAGTTGTTACGGGACTATTTAATAATCTATTCAATCCGACTTCAGATCTTTTACTGTCATTTCCTGAACAAGAAAAGCAACTCAATTCTCAGTGTATTGACTTTACAGAAGCAGCGAGTATTGTTGACGACTGTATTTGAATGAATCTTTAGACTTTCCAAGAGAGAATGCAGAGTAGTTGTATTCTAGTTTGGATGTACAGAATGCATTAGTTATGTAACTTATAAACTACGATAACAATATTATTTATAATTTTGTTACGAAGTTCTTCCAAATATTTCAGAAATATCTCTCGTAAGCGTATCGTTGTCCAAACAAATCGCAACAGCCTGGCGACATTTTGTATCCCAAAACCAAACTCCACTACTAACAAATGATAATTCATTGTTATTTGGTTGCTGTTGATAAGAACGCTTGTCATTTTTAGCTTTCTTTTTGTTACCAAGAGAATTATTCTTTGTGTGCAGATTGTTACTGCTCGAATTTTGTGATCTCAAACGACCGTTCTTCTTGTTATCTTTGACTACACGAAAACTCGTACGTATCGTTCGATACAAATCTGAGTCTTCATCCATGTCTATATCGGACAAGTCGCTTTCACTATACCACTTCTTTCGCTTACTATTTCGTTGAGTAATGAATGAAGGTGGAATATACGGAGAGCTTCTTCTCTGAGACAATAAACTAAGCTTCCAAACAATTGCTTCATCTTTTTCTCTAAACATGTGACAAAATGCAAAAGCTTCATTTTCCCTATGAGAGGAGGAATAAGGATTCCCTACTTCACATTCTGCATCTGAAATAACCTGTTCACTTGTAACTCGGTTGTTCACGTTTTCTTTGTCTACAAGTATAGAATTGGACGTTAACCTAGTTTGAAGCTTGGAAGAACTCGGGTTACTCCACATGTGGCCTACTTCTGTGTTTTGCAAAAGCGTCGTTATTTCGCTGTTCTTTTGCTCTTCCTTGTGAATAAAACTATCATGAACGTCGTAGGAATCTGCAACTATCTCATTCTTCATATGTATTCTTTGATAAGCTTGCATAGTATTTGGAATGGAACTAAATATCCTTGGACCTTGAGAAGTACCATAGTTGCTTTTTCTACTAGCAAAACCATCAGCCGTTGGTAAATAGTTTGCAACTTGAGTCAGTTCCATATCATTCTTTTGCATTTCGTCGAGGGATTTTTTCCCACTGTGCCACTTATGCGCAAGTTTAGTAGTTGTGCTATGAAAGCTTCCAAGCTCGAGTATTACAGCTTCGTGTACAGGATATTTTCCTTATGTTCCTAAAGCTGTTATGAGTGACCATAGTTAAACGTTGTATATACTAACCACTAGTTGAGCGCCTCGTGTGACGACACACTATACGGTTGTTGGGCAATAATCCACACAAACTTCACACCGAGAGAACCAACGTGCTCGTCCACGCGACTCTCATTGCCTGGAGACCGATTGGCATTTGATCCGTTTCTTCCCTCCTCTTCCAAAACTATCGATTATTTGATGATTCTTGGAAAGTTTCATAATTTTCTCCAACTGGATTTCTATTTTGTCATCTATATAGGGAATAGTTTTATTCAACATGAATAAAGGAAGGAAAGTGGATATAGATACAGCTTGCTTTTCCACTTTATTCAATAATAATAATAATAATAATAATATAAAGCTGTGATCGAATACTGAGTATTTGAACTGTTCTTCAAGTGCTCACAGTGAAATAATATATCAATGAAAGCTATGTTAGGTATTTTGAAAGATAAAGAATCCAAAGGATTGAACCTTACCATTACGACACATTCAGAGTTTAGAAAGTTTTTTCAACGATATGAGTTTCTGTGTTGTTGCTGTTCAGGTCATCATTCTTTGTCTTGGATTGTCAAATGTCACTGAAAATAAGAGACTCGTAAGATTGTTCTGAGGAAATGTAAAATGCACACATTTCTACAACAACTGAGTGAATAAGAAAATATTTTCAGATGGGTCATTTGGGTTTTTCGTTGTGAAAATGAAACATATGGCCTTTGTATGGGGTCCGTTGATACGTAACCATTCCTCTATGGTTAGGAATAGACCATCTGCTGCAAACTTGTTTAGAGTTTTTGGTCCATCAAAGCCTTCTCGTTTCGTTCAGAGTTGCTCGGTTTCGAATGAAGCGTCAACTCCATCCTCGAAACTTCGACAGCTTTTACGTTGTGATGATTTTCTTCTAATGCCTTGTTGTTACGATGCAATGTCCGCAAAACTGATAGAGAGACACGGTTTCAAGCTTAGTTTCATGAGTGGCTTTGGGGTATCTGCTCTTCATGGGTTACCAGATACTGGCTTGTTATCCTATGGTGAAGTGGTTTCCCAGTTAAGATTCATAACGGAATCAGTACATATACCGATCATTGGTAACTAGTTTTCAGCTGTATGGTATGATATGACTGAGATTGAAATAGCTGATGGGGACACAGGATATGGCAACCCTTTGAGTGTAAAGAGAACTGTCAAAGGCTTTGCCAATGCTGGTGCTGCTGGTATTATGTTAGAAGATCAAGTTAATCCGAAGCGTTGTGGTCATACCCGAGGAAAGTCTGTAGTTTCTCGAGAGGAAGCAGAGTTACGAATTCGAGCTGCAGTAGATGCAAGAGAAGAGGTAAGCCCATCTTTGGAATTTTAAAAATGAAGAATATGTCACTTGAATAGATGGGACATGATATAGTGATTATGGCTCGAACAGATGCTCTTTATTCACATTCCTTGGAAGAAGCCATAGTTCGTATGAAGCTTTTTCGAAAGCATGGTGCGGATATTTTGTTTATGGAAGCTCCTTCATCTGTGGAACAAATGAAAGTATTTTGTCAACAAGTGGAAGGACCAAAGATGGTACTAATGATAATCTGATTGAGAATAGTTGACCTATACTTTATAGGCAAATATGGTTGAACAAGGTACAACACCCATTCTTCCGCCGAAGGAATTGGCAGCTATCGGTTACAAAATTGCCGCTTATCCATTAACTTTACTATCAGCCTCTATGAAAGCCATGGAAGAAGCTCTTGTAGCTCTTCAATCTGGAGATCCTCAAAAGGTACGACCATTGTTACATGATTTCTCACATGTTTGGTAAGTTGCACGCATGAAAAGCAAACTGATGATGAAGGAGTCTGACATGTTCAAACAAATAGCGACATGGTTGGATTTGATCATTATTATGAAGAAGAGAAAAAATATGCCATTTAGTGCTGTTTTTGATATTTGTGTAGAACGTATTGAATTGTTACTTTGTAAAGTTGGATACTCTTTTAAACAGAGTTGTCGCTATTCAAGTAGAATACTGTCTTTTTTGCATTTCAAGATTGGATCGATAGGAACAGTACAAAACATGATGGTTAGCGACGAGAAAGGCAATATTCCATTATCTTTTATTCCACATATAGAAGAAGTGGCTAGTACAGACTTATCTCATTGGCAACATATGATTGCTGGTGCAGTTGCAGGTCTTACTGAAACAACCCTTATGTTTCCTTTAGATACCGTGAAAACTCGTCTACAGTCCATCACAGTGAACACTCCCAACCAAGGACTCTTTTCTTGTGTCGCGGAGATTCTACGAAAGGAAGGATTTCTTAAGCTATGGAGAGGTATTGGAGCTGCCTCTATGACAGCTGGTCCAGGACACGCAGTGTATTTTGCAACATATGAAATAGGAAAACAACTATTTTCAAACAATGTGTAAGCGTTTATGTTGTTTCCGTTGCGAAGATAACGCTTTTTCTTAGAAACGAATACAAACCACTTGCCACTGCAGGAGCAGGTGCGTTAGCTGCTTTGGTTTCCGATGGTGTTTTTATTCCTTTTGATGTTGTGAAACAAAGGATGCAATTGCAGAAGACTTCAACCAGTTTCTTTTCCGTAGTTTCTAGAGTTTATACAGAAAGGGGTATTGGGGCTTTCTTTGCTGGTTATACTACTACGCTAGTGATGGAAGTTCCTTATACAGCTGTTCATTTTGCGACGTATGAAGGAGTCAAGCACTTTCTTTTACATTACAGACAAGTTCCCGAACATCAGTTTTCCATTTCTAGTCATTTGATTGCTGGAGCTATGGCTGGAACTGTAGCCAGTGGACTTACGAATCCTTTAGATGTCGTGAAAACTCGTCTCCAAACGCAAGGAGAAGTAAGCACAGTTCAATGTTCTGATGGAGGCCATTTATCAACTTGTTGTTCCAGGTAACATCATCTTCATACAAGAATATGTTGCATGCGATGACAATCATTTTCAAAGAGGAAGGATTCAGAGGTTTTTTACGAGGTGTCGTTGCTCGGATGCTATTTCATGCAGTAAGTCTATTTGGTGTGCTATGTATTGTGCAATCTAAACATTTGTGACTAGCCATCCGCTTCCATTTGTTTTACGGCTTACTCTGGATGTAAGTTTTTATTCGCAAGTTTTTCTTCTGCTAGGAATGACTCTACCGTTCCAACTGTGTCATCTTAAGAGGAGAATGAATGACCACCCATGACGAAGCATGAATTGTGGCTCTTCATATATCTCGCCTTGTCAAGTGGCTTTTACAGACCCTTATAGAAAATGCAGTTGATTCGTCAAACAGAATTTATTGTACTCGGCTTGTTACACTTTACCAAATCTGCTTTTTCCTCCAGACAAAAGGTAGATTATTGTTATATTCGTATTTCCAAACCTCTAAAGACTCTCTAGTTATTTGAACCCTTATCTCTTAACCACGAGTCTCTTCACTGCGTCATAACAGGGGCAAATAGTGGCATAGGTTATGCAACTGCAGAAGCACTTGCCAAGGCCTCCTGTAACCTTTATTTAGTATGTAGAAATAGACAAAGAGGAGAGGCTGCTATAACCAAACTGAAACAAACGTCCGGTAACCAACACATCTACCTATACCAATGTGATATGAGTAGTATGAAACAAGTGAAACAACTTGCGGAACAGTTGATATTCGATCAAAGGCCAGTGAATGTACTGATTCACAACGCTGGCTGTATGGCTCATCGGTTTCAACTCACAGAAGAAGGTTTCGAAACCAACTTTGTGACCAACGTGTTGAGTGTTTTCTACCTTACAGAGTTACTTCTTCCTACACTGAACAAAAACGGTCCTTCGAGGGTTAGTGTGTATAAGACTTGCTTAGTTGTTCCATTACTGAATTCAACTTTTCAACACAACAGGTCATCGTAGTTAGTTCAGGTGGAATGCTGACTGAACGCTTGGAAACTGATGACCTACCAATGAAAAAAGAGCCGTTTGATGGTATGAAACAATATGCTAGAAATAAGCGTCAACAAGTTGTGCTAGTAGAGTACTGGTCAACGAAGTATGTGAAAATGAACACAAGTTTCTTTTCTATGCATCCTGGCTGGGTAAACACACCAGTTGTACAAGAATCAATGCCTCAGTTTTATAAGACTATGAAGAGTCACCTAAGAACTCCTGAACAAGGAGCAGACACCGTTGTTTGGCTTGCATGTAGTTCAAGTGTTCGAAAGGAAGATTCTGGAAACTTTTTTTTAGATCGCTCAAAGGTTGAAAAGCATTTGCCGTTGGCACGTACTCACTATTCCAAACAAGATATGGAAAGACTATATTGCGTATTACAGGATTTAGTAACTTCCTTTGAAAACACTCAAAATGATGAAAAATAAGGCTCATTTAATTTGCAAAAGTAAATAACGTCGCAGTATTTCATAATCTACAAATACAGAACGATTTCCTTTCTTCTGTCTTATCCATATTTCAGTTATGATCATCGCACAATATTACGAAAAGTTTTGCAGCAATTCTGCTTCATCCAAGTCATATGAAATGTTTCGTTCTTGGAACATATCATAAAGTTCATCGATGAAGCAAGTCGGTTCATAAGAAAAGCCAAAGTCTTGTGTTGATAACGGAACCATTTCATTCAACGTCCAAACTTTATCATAAGCATCTTCAGGCTGCATAGAATGTTCATCAACCTATTGAATAGAATAGTTAGTAATCATATCGTGTAAGAAACGAGTGAATGACTCCCACACACCGAAAACTTCTTGTCCAATAAGCATATTTCAGATTTCACATTTCCGAGTATAGCCTCATCTGAAAATGGAATACAGGGATCATCATTCTTTTCTACTGTGTCTCCATACAAGCTACCAACAACTCTGTCTGAAACAGTTGAAGTAGATGAAGTATTTGAAGCTCTCTTTCTCTTTGCTGATCTACGTTGTCTGCGAAATTGTCGGCGAACATAAGCCATCATTGCATAGGGTTCGTAACGGCGATATTCATCCATAAAATGTTCCTTCTCTAAAATATGCTTAAGTTTTCCTGTTGGAATCACAACGATATTGTTCAAAGCCTTATTCACCAACGGACTATGAACGCTATAATTCATCATTTCCGACATCTTCAAGTGTTCCGTCTTTTCACTTCTAATTACGTGAATAGCTGTTCTAATTGGAACTATTTTTTCGAAATTTTTTTGGTAGTCCGTAACACGAAGCGAACCGTGGAATACTCCTAAGCTTCTCATCATGTAATGAATAGCATCCAGAAATACGTCTCTTTCATAATTACATAGTCTAAAGGCTTCTTCATTCAATAAATGAGGCTCTCTATCTGGTCCACAAATAGCAACTTTCTCCAAGACCATTTGCTCTCTTGTGCTTATAATTTCTGAGCTTCTCAATAACTTCGAGGGTAGCTTGCCAGGTGGTGGAGCTTCAAAGAGTACTAAATATCTCATACGATACTGAGCTGTAGGAAACTATAACAATGAGGAATGAATCAAAGGTCAACTCGAGTTCCTTCCAAACCTACCTTCATCCAGTCGACAAGTACCGTGTTATTCGAGAACCAATGGAACTAGATAAGAAAATGAGCGGCAATTGACCAAAAAAAGAATCCAAACCTCTAATTTCTCGAAAGATTTCAAGTCCACCACAAAGCGCTTGGAAGTAGCGACACCAGAAAAGTTCTTGGGAAGTGCGAATTGGAAAGTGCCTCCCAGTTTCTAAAACAAAGTCAAAGTTTCCGCCCATTCTCCTGTATAACTGTTTCTTACCAGTCCTACCAAAATGTTGTCGACGACTCCAACTGGCCTCATGAGGAAGTGTAAACGTTCGTTTTCGTTTCCAAAACTGGTATCCCCGCATATACCCACGGAACTTTCAACAAGATGAGGAGGAATGTAGACCTCGTTTCTTCCCATAAGCCATTCTCTCACTACTTCGTTTTCTATGAGTCTTAGTGAGAAGCACTCCATTTTCTACAACCTAAAGAGGGTTTCGATGCTCGCCTTGGATAAAATCTCTGCAAACAGGGAAGGAGGGGGAGATTAGGAAGCCGAAGAAGAAAATGACAGAATAACCTAATAATGGCAGAGAGATCTTTCCAATAAGTAATCAAAGAAATGAGCTGGACAACTTTGTTAGAATAGGATAGCATGTTGCCATCTCTAATACTTAAGGTATGTGTATATTCTTCCCATCCACAGAGGAACTTTGTTTACATATATTTGCAAACAGACAACGAGATAATTTTTATTTTGGAAAAACAGAGTAAAATAAAAAAGGAATAATGTATACAGAGTGAAGACAGCACATATAGAAGACGACAAAGGACTTGTCTAGTTCCTATATACAATGAACACACAAAAGACGAAATGGGAGATAGAAAAAACTGTTCACTAAAGTATTTCAGACTCTTTCACCATCTTTTTGCGCTCTACTATGTATTTATTCTCTTTGTACCGTTGTGACTCCTCGTAGGCTTCCAGCTTGAAATTGTTTGAGTTGTACAAACCAACAGATAAACCCTAGACTTACGTATTTCCAACCAATGACCGTATGGCAAACATTGCAGTAAATATCTGCCACAGTATGAAGACCGGTGATCAGGACTCGTTCTTCCTTGGGACCCAAGCTAATATTGACACTAAAAGCTGCATAAGCCAACAAAAAGTACAGTGCATATAACGAGTGTTGCCTTACACATTATTGAACAAATAAGCTCTTCCATGACGGCCTTGAAATTGCTGTACCAGAAAAGACACTAAGCGACTGCCAATATAAAAAGGGGAGCTAAAGTTACCTTGGACATGATGTCCTCATGTACTGCAAGATGACACTTGCAAGTGCTACAACAGTAAATGGTGGAACCGGACAAGTAGGTCTTGAACAGTCTTCCCATATAACACAGGAAGAAAGTATCAGGAAAACTACACGCCTTGAAGAGAAACAAATCAATTTCTCACCAAACGACACATCGACATGGAATCATTAGATAACGATGTTTGGTTCTAGAAATAATCATGCTCGATGAAAGACTGTGATCACTATATATCATAGAATTCTTTTACAAAGTTTCATAGCAAATAAATATCCATTGATGTATTACTCTATTTATAGCACGAATCATTGTCTAAAAAAGACTCAGTTCCTACACGTTGAGTCGTAGCAGAACAGGTAAAAACAACTTGATGATATATAAACAAACATTTTGAATGGAAGTGTAAACTCATACAGAATGTTCTCTATGCTTTGTGTTATAGTGATTCTTATTTCTAATAAGAAATGACTAACTCCTGTTCCTAGACACGAAATGATTTCTTCTTTTGTTGATAACAAGAGTTTCAAGCCTCAATCATTTTTCTAAAAGGAAAGGTATTACAAAGAGGGTTGAAGAAAGATATATTTTGTCATTATATCTGAAAACTTCGTTGAAATATTTTGGAATTTGAAATCAATGCAATTTTTATTTCTGCTTTATGTTTCAAACTACTTGGGTTCCTTTTCAGATTTCTCACAAGAAATGTAAAAGACAACGAACCAGAATTAGTTTTTATTGGAAACAGCACACCTTCAAAGTCTTATCTCAACTGAAAAGTGAACAAGTTCTAGATAAGCTATACAAGTCAGTCGTTGTGTGTGTTCGACAGCAAAGTTTTTCAACCGCACTTAAAACGTGTAGAGCTTTAATGGCAGGAGGTCTAGACCGTTTGGAAGTCTGTGTCTTTCTTTTACTTGTTGTTCACTCACATTAGAACTAGATAACTTTAACAACACCCGATGCATTTGAGTTGATTCACACGCTGTCCAATGAATATCCTCAAGCAACCATTGGTGCGGGAACCGTTTTGAAACCAAGTCAAGTGAAACTTGCTGCAAAGTCAGGAGCTTTGTTCATAATGAGTCCCGTACTTGTTCACGACGTAATAGAAGAGGCCAAACGTCACGATCTACTTGCTATTCCAGGTGGAACAACACCTTCCGAAATATACAATTGTTTTTCAGCCGGTGCTTCTCTTGTAAAACTATTTCCTGTAGAGTCATTCGGTATGCTATGCCTATGAGAACGTCAAATCGTTTTATTGATATTGTAGGTGGTCTCTCCTTGGTGAAGACAGTTGCTGGACCGTTTCCGGATATTCCCTTACTTCCCACTAGTGGCATCACTTTAAATGCTCTCCCAGAGTAAGTAAGGAAGGGAAACTTTGTAAACACCCTTCTTACCACCAGCTCATTATGGGCCCAAGACTAAAAGTCCGCTTTGTATAGGTACTTGGCAGAGAAAAGTGTCTGGGCCGTTGGAGTCTCGAAACAGATAGTTGATAGCAACGCTCTTGCAAACGAAAACTGGAAGCTAATTGAAGATAATGCGTACCGTTGGAAAATGGCTATTCAAAAGTTTATTAGCGTCCAAAGATACTCGAGTTACAAATGATTATTTCCATTTATGGGACTTTGATAATGAAGTTGTCCTTACATATTAGTTGAAAGGATTCTCAACGTACATGGGACCCTTTATTTACCAAGCTAGTTACCCTTGTCATGTTTGTATCGAAAATAGACTCAATTTCTCTTATGAAAGTCTTTTTTTAAGAAAACTTGCAATGGTTGAATACATACAACTTCAAAAAGATTCAAGTATTGCTAAAGAGTTGAAACCATCTAATAACGTGATTAAAGTTTCTCCACAATTGCTTGAGAATAGTGACTTGATGGAATACCTTTATTTGTGAAATTGCCTAGTTCATAATATCGTTTTCGTAGCTTTCATAAAAGCCTACAATCCCCACATTCAACTCATAATTGGCCTCCATTCCGAACATTTATTATAACCAACAATTGTCAAGCAAGCCTTGTAAGAATCTATGGACTTTTCAAGCCTACAGTGCGACGTCTGTCACAATGTAGGAAATTTTGTGTTGAATGAACAGTCTCAACTTATATGTAACGTTTGTCACAGTCTCATGACTGTCTATCAAGAAGAACTTACAGATTTTATGCCCGGTGTTGCTATGAAAGGTTGGAGAGCCTCTTCTCAAAATGCCTTTGAACCTGTAGACAAAACTGCAAAAGAACCTGCGCAAGCTCCGAAACTCAAAAGATTCAAGCTTTCTGATGCTGGTGAAGTATCCTTAGCAGTTCAACTCCTTACCAACATTTTGGCACTCCAGGTTGCATCAGTTCGCCCCTATTTGAGAAACAGTAACGGAGTTTGTTCAACCACTAAAAAGATTTTCTTATGCTGCTTATCTGATGAAGAGTGGATTAAGAAACACTTTCTACGATATGGTTTTCGAATGGAAATTACTTTGGCTATATTGTCGTTATCGAGCCTTTACCATCGCGAATTCCTGTTGCCTTGCCATATTGCAGAAAAGGCAACTCTTGGCGAAATTCCGTATATCAATATTTTGTCCAAGCTCACAGTGCCATATAAGCGGGCAAATTCTTTGAAAAAGATCTTTGAGACACATACATTTCCTTCAGCTTCTATCATTCAAAGAGAAGCACGCGCCCTTTTGTCAGATGCAGAACATTGTTGGCCACCGTTGCGTAGTTCTATCGGAAATTTTCTCTCGTCTGTTTCTGGTTATCATGACTTTCCATGTTGCTGTACTACAGAGCTTGCCAAGAGTATGATCAAGTATTTTCAACTACCAGATCACTTTTTGGATTGGATATTTCCGTTTTCGACTTGTCGAAGAATTTCACAAGAAAAGGGTTTGGAACCTTGTGGTGAAATAGATGTCCTTTGTGATTTGCTCAATTTATTGAAACTGTCACTTATTTATCAGTTTAATTTCAGAAGGGAGAAAGTGCCTGAAGACTATTATTTAGCTTCTCTGGAATCTTCTATCTCTATCTATGAACTTTTGAGAAATCTAACTCGGTTGAAAGAGAACAAGACGCTGTATTATCGAATATTTCACAGCGATTGGAATGGTATAAGTGATGAGGACATTCATAAGCTTTCTCAGTTGTATGAAAACGTAATTATGGGAACTGAGCGTGTGCCAGATGCATATCTACCAGTTTTTGTAGCACTAAAGGAGCTCGTTAATCAGTCTTCTTATATATCTGATAGCTGTACTCCTGTTGAATTCAACATAAGTGAAGAGGAGTTGGATAAGCAACTTGAAGCAGATCCTTCGAAGATTATGTTTGTGATTTTTTTGGAATTTGCCGACTTGGGTTTGCGTTTTTTGGGTCGTGAAGACACAGAGAGATTGAGAAAGTATGTGATTCAAGTCGCGGACACTCAATTACATGGAATACTTGTTATGATGGGTTTGGTTAAAGAAGAACGCAACAAAAATGCTATGGAAACTCTATCGGTCTGAAGTTGAAATTCTGTTGTACATATATATATTATGATTACTTCAAAGTTCTTCCAACTACATCGAACCATATCAAGTTGTTCATAGTCGTCGTTGCCTGAAGAGAACGATCCACAAATCATAGCAGCATGGTGCATTTCATATCTCATTACCAATTGAAAGAACAAATGTGTATCCAATCAAAATAACTGTTTCTTCCAAAATGACATAACAATGTTTGACTATATATATATATATATATGACTTTCCTATGAAGACTCTGCTGATACAATATTCAATCGAATAATGCCCATTCGTGGATGAATATCCGTGACCTTGACAACAACTTGCTGCCCTGGATAGTAAACATGATCAGAATCCATCATAAAATAATAAGGAATCTTATCAATCTGAACCAAAAGTCTTTTGGGTTCTTCACTTTTGATCCAACTTACAACAGTTGCTGGATAGTTTTTTCTGAGTCCATTCATTCTCAAATATTCCAAGCACCAGTACTTGACTGAACGCTTTTTCACTACTTTCGCTTCTTTTGCTCCTTCATGTGCCAGCTTTACATGTGAACTTAGTTCCTCAACCGACATAAGAGGCATATCTACCGCAAGATAGTTACTAAGTTGATAATGTCCTAAAAGATCCGTTGCTCTTCGAATAGGACTTGTGACCTCCAAGTTGTCTTAGAATACAACAAGCATAGAAAACATAACCTACTTGCGCATAACAAGAAAGTCCTAAACTACTGTGTGCAGTTGGATGGTATGAAATAAAGGAAGGTTTCATAAACTTTAACAATTTGTTTGCTCTTGCAACTCCTTCAGGAATGACATTCAATTCCGAATCCGTCGGTAACTGAAACAATGTGTCAAGAACAGAAGTGTAAAGTTTAACATACTCACATTCACCTTTTCTTGTCCACGAAAAGGCAAAATCCATCCTTTCTGTTGAGCATATAGAGCAGCCGCTTCACCAGCTGCCAACATCATTTCCTTGACTAAAAGTGATGATTTCCTTTCTGAAGTGTGACTCTGAAATTGAAATGATGGCTGTTCTCCATCGTCAAACGTCACTTTAACTTCCGCTTCGTTCACATTGAATTCTAATGCTCCATTAGCAAGGCGATATGTTCGTCTCCTTTCGGCAAGTTTATGAAGCCTTTGAAGACAAATTATATCTGCTTCCATAAGGCAAGGGTCAACTGTATCACCAGCAATGACACTTTCCGCTGTCGGATAATCGATACGAATCGGAGCCTTAATCTATATAAACGATAAGAATAGCCAATTAATCATGGATAAACCACAACAACATACAATGCTTTTGCATATTCGAATATCCTGCAACTTGCCATCTGGAAGAATCCTAAAACCGAAACTTAGCGCATAGTTTGATCCGTAACGAGAACCAAGAGAAAGTAATAATTCGGCCACATTCATAGGGAACATCCCAATCTTTTCGGTAGGAAGATAAATGCTCGAACCTCTCCTCAGTGCTTCATCAAAAAGCAAATCGTCTGAAGATACATAATTACTAGCGTCTGCCACATGAACCCAAACATAGTCAGAATCCAACCTATCCAAACCAACTGCATCATCAATTTCTATGGTCTCCGAATCATCAATAGAATAACAAGGAAGTTGCTTTAATTCAATGCGATCTGATGAGTTATTATCCAATAAATCCTTCGATTGATGCAAAATTTCATCTCCAGCCTTCAAAACACTTTCATGAAAGCCATCTGAGAATCTTGAAGCTCTCAAAAACAAATTTTCATAATAACTGTAATATCCCAATTCAACCAAAGACTACTCAAGAGCTTTAGGATAAGTCTCTCCTCAAAAAGAAAAACACATACTTGAAAGGAAGATATTGGAGAGATTGTACGTCCCAAATTTTTCAAAATTTTCGTGGCAAGTGGAACTTCAGGGCGTTGCTTATCTACTAGTCTTAAAGAATCTCGTTCTAAAATTGTTACAGCTTCTTCAAAAGACTTGCCTGAAGCACGAGCAACTAGACAGAAGTTACAGTTAATGATATGATAAACTTATGTGCTCACTTTCATTTCTAAACAATTCTTGTTCCTTTGAAAGAGGATGCTCTTCTAACATTTGGGATATCGTTCTTTTGCCAAAGTACACATTACTACATATATTAGAGGACACTAGAATACCCCGTTCACTAAAATGTTCAGTAAACCAACAAATGACATAATAGAATATAATGCATACCTGAGCAGCAAAATGTAACGTTGAATGATTTCTCGAAAATCCGAAAGAAGCTCAGGGAACTTTGAACGCGGCATCTCAAAGAACTTTTCAAGGATGTCCCACTTGTTGACAATTCTTTGATCTTGAAATTCTAGTTAAGCTTTTGACAACTAGAATAAGCCCAAGGCAGCAAGAAGGAGTCATACCTCGTCCTTCAGGATAACTGTTCGAAACTTTAGCTACGAATTCTATCAAACAAGTCAGAATATTTGGATTCCAAGCTTTCTTACGTACTCTCTAACAAGGGATCATTTTGTAACGAAAAACTTGTATTAAAAGGATGAATCTTGAAGAAAGGTAAGAAGCCACGACAAAATGATTCTGTTATACCTGCTTGTGAGGAATTTCATAAATGCTACAGTCTGTCGATAATACACGATATTTCTCCTCTCCCCTAGACAGCTAAATACTCGGTTCGACACACAAGAAACCAATCATAAACAATATCACGTACCAAGATGCCCCAGTGCAGCCAATCGTCCTCCAACTTCCTAAACTGCAATAACGTGCCACTATCAAGATGACGTTGCCATTCAGGTCTTCCAATCCTGACATTCAGAGAAGTATTCACTTCTGAATAGTGCCGTGATAAAAGGCTGCACTTCACACTGTAACACTTTGGTGAAAATCCCGCCAACCTAAAGTCAAAACTAACGAATTTACGGAGTACTACGTCACTTCGACAAGGTATCAAGTTACTGCTTTTAAATATGAACCTCGTCTTTCCTACTCTTGGAAGACATCGAATCAACTCAACAAAAAGAACAAACTTCATTTCTGCCAACATTTAAGAATCGCCATTTTATTTGGATAAATAGGAAGTTTTAGATTTTCATTACGTCGAAGAAAAGTTTCAATTACGCCATACGTGTAAAGTAACATAGCGAGAAAACTCATGAAAATACCAAATTGAACCAAACTACACCAACTATTAGACATAACAGCATTTTGCAGAAATATTTGTGGCCAAAGGTTATGCTTCACAGAGACGCCACGAAGCCGTTGTAAAGTTTCAGATTTGATCCCCTTCACTTGTAGTTCTCGTGGCATCACTGATAGATTCCTTATTCAATTCTTCAGGACTCTCGTCAACTCCCGACGGCAAACTTTCAGCATATTCTGCTGAGGACACATTGAAACTTCTACTACTTAACTTGGAGGAACCGGAGGACGTCATATCTTGATTTCTATACAAACCACAGTTTTTTGACGAGTTTGAAAATTTCTCTGGGTTCTTCCTGCACAATTCCAAAACTTCATCGTATGAAAAGTGGTCGGAATAGCCTTTATGGAAGGCTTTCTCATGCTTCTCAATATGTTTCGCAACAGACCTTAACTTACGATGTGGCCACCTGGAGATACCGAATCGTCGACAAATTTTCTTCAAGACTGTGACACAAACTCCCAACTTTTTTGAAGCTTCAACCATTGGAAGATGAAAATGACTTTTCTACAAACCCTAAGTACCAATATAATTTTGAATACCACGGAACTTACCAAAGTTTCCAAGTCTATGTTATCCTTCCGATGGGAGCTGAAGCGTCCATCTAAACCTCCATATTTCCATAAATCTGGGAATCTCTCTTTCACCGATAATAACTGACTATGACGCCCTTGCTTAGAATCATGATGTGAAGCAAGTCCTTCAGGAGAAGAACAGTTTGGTAAAGATGTGATCATGTTCGTACTGTTTGAGGCAGCAAGTCCTCCACCATTTGAAGTACTAACCATGCCAGCATATCCTCCAGTCAATGTCGCTTCATAATTTGGAGTGGCCATGAATCCTTGAACACAAATATCTGTCAACTTTGGCGAATTTACAGTTCCTTCCATTGTTATTTGAGGCTGTATTGGAAATGCAAACGCAGAATTACTCTGTGCATTAGACGCGAACTGCTGCGAATTTCCAAAACTTCTTGGTGTCAGAGGTGGTAATATTACTGATGGACTGTACAAATCAGCTCCAAGATTTAAATTACAGATATTCCTGTTCTCAGACGCTTCAGGGGAAGAAAACGACGGTCCCTGAGTTGCAAGTGGTGAGGTACTCCATTCTGCCTGTTGCACACCAGAAGCGGTACGCATGTAAGCAATAGGAGGTGGACCCGATTGTAATTGACCAGTATGAATAGCTGGTGAAGGAACACCGTTATCTTTCACTTGATTCTGTAAACCATGACAAGAATCCGCTCGAAAGTATACAGGAGAGTTTTCTCCGCAATTCAACGTGAAGGCATCGCTAATAGAGGGGAGTGGAAGGACAGGCGTTTGCAAACTGTAAGACTCCACAGGCAGAGGATTGTTGACATTGCTGTATAGCTGCTTTTTCTCGAAGCTACCCATACTATCGAAGAAGGCGACTTTTTGCGGTAGATTACAGAAAAGCTGTTCTTGCATACCAATACTTAAGATACTACAATATATATATGTATATATATATTATATATATTTCCAACAGTATCAAATCGCGTATGTAGTCTACTTTGACCAATTTCCTGAAAAGTCACGCCAACCACTATAGCTTAGTTTTCTTCCACTATCTTGCCACAATATGAACTATGAGACCCTTGTAGGACTTCTATGCCTTCACTGTGTTGTTATAAACTTGGAAAGGACTCAGCTACAACACTAATAATTCACGCTTTTTACACAAACGTTTATAATTCTCTCCACATGACCCAAAACCTCTTCACTCCCCTTAGCCAAATGCCGCTAACGTTTCTGGAAAATAAATTTCTCAAAAATTCCCTCAGTAGTCCAATAGACAAAATGAACGAGAGGGCAGTGTCTGAATGGCAGAAAACGGGAATTGTTTCCAGAAAAATTTCTTACGGGCATGCAACATGGGTATCTTTGCCAACTTATACTTAAAAACACATTGAAGCTTTATAAAGCACAAGTAAACAAAAAATCAACCCTCTCTAACTGACTGCTAAGGAACCTCACTTTGGGGCGAGTCTCTTTACAAACTTTGCGAAATAGCTTCCTTGATGCTTTGCACGTGCTAGTTCATACTCAATGGGTTGCCTTGAGCCGTCCGCACCAGCATAAGTTCCAGCTCCATATGCTGAACCTCCCTGAACGCGATCTTGACGAAATTCATCAGGACCAAAAGAGTAACCTATACAAAATAGAGCTGAGGAACTTGCTATTCAAGTGTTGAAATCCTGAAACTTACCAATCGGAACAAATACCATTCCCAAATGGGCCAGCTGAGTTATTGCAGTAAAAGCAGTTGTTTCTTGTCCTCCACCTTGTGAACCTGTTGAAAAGAAGAGACCTGCTGGCTTTGTGGCCAAAGCTCCACTTTGCCAAAGATCTTTCAGAAGTGATCAGTGAATGTGAAAGTAGTTTTCCTAGAAAACTCACGTCCAAAGGAGTCAAAAACAGCCTTCATTTGTGCACACATCATACCAAAACGTGTTGGAAAACCAAAGATAACTCCATCGGCTTCAGCTAAGATACTGTGTTTATCAAAAGTGAATACTGGATCATTTGGCTTTGGTGGTGCCTTCATCATTTTCAGAATGTCTTCAGAAAGCGTCTCTGGTGCCTGATACAGGACAACTTCACATCCTTCTTGACGAGCACCCTCAACAATCTGGTCAGCAAGCTTCTTGATATGACCATACATGGAATCTTAGGGTTGTACTCTTAATACTAGTCAATACTATGCAGATACACTTACAGTACAGTACTAGGATTCGCGGCATTCCGTGAAGCTTTAGCAATGGAACAACTTACTGACAAGGAATATTCTGAAACTCAAAATAAAAATACCAAAATCGAACAAATCGATTGGACAATTCAATTAGAAGACGAGATGGAATGAAACAGCCATCCGTTTGCTCGAGGACAACGAGCATAGTAACTCTCAACGTTTTTATGTACTGCTGTTAGTTCTATCACGAAAAATGTATGGCGTGATAGTATCAATATTGGGAATTTTAAACTCTTAAGAGTCTAATGATATTTAAAAAGTGTCTCTGCGTATGCTTTCATATTTAAAACACTTTTTCTCCACACAAAAATGATATAGACAACACAAAAACTAGCTTCTAGGTGCGGCCACGACTGAAAGGTTGCTGTATTGCAGAGTGGCTGACGTAATATTCGTTAGAAATATAATTTTAAGCAAAACACATTAAAAGAGTTACAGGCATAAAGAGTTTTGAATAAAGAGACTAGAGCTTTCTTCTAGAATACAGCTAACGTGCTTCGTACTGGACTACTCGCTTCGTTCGAAGCTTATACAAAATACGACCGCCGCAAGAGTTACAACGCACCGGTTCCCCCAAGCGTATCTCATTGACGTTTCCACAATCTTTGGCAGTTGTTAGCGATAAAAAACTTTTATGGTTCAGGTTATGGGGCATACCTGCACACTGATATTGCATAGATAAAAAGTACCGATCCTCACAATAAACAACGCCTTGAATCGATTTCCTGAGGGAGAGGGTGGAGAGATGATTCCCCTTATGTTAGATTGGTCCTTGTTGTTGTAACCTCGCTGACACGTGAACTGTGGCAGTCTGAACTTCCAGACTGTAACGAGTTCGTCTGTAAAGTGAAGAATTCTTTCATTTGGGACACCGGGTGTTAAGAGGAAGAGAGAAAGAGAGAGAGCAGAAATAGTGAAGTCATACAAGTTTCGTCAACGAGTGGACGTACTCGTCTTCGACAGAATCAATATCACCACTGAAACTTATAGCAGTCTTTTGCTTTGGATCTTATAAACAACTACTGCAGTCGATAGAAGTTTGAGAAAACTGTAAGCTATCAAGTGTTAAAAGTTCTCATTCACAATAGCGTCGGTCGTACATACTCAGCAAACTGCTATTTGTGAACTAAGTTATATTTGACCACAATTTTAGGTCATGCTTTATTTAGACAACAGAGGAGACCATCTAGCTCTACTTTCGCAGAATTATGCATTGTTATACTCGGAGAATACTCTGTTGTTTTGATACTTTTCTTTTTGTTTTACAAACCTCCAACATAAGATTGAGAATAAGCGTTTTTTAAAGTATTTCGTCGAGTACTCAAATGGAAGCTAAACTTATCCTCCTATGAATTTGGCTTTAGGAAATCATTTCATTATTGCAACAATTTTGTCACTGTTGACTTCTCACTCGTGTGAGTTTCGAGTAACCAATTTGTATTGAGACAGCCTTAAAGCAGTGAGCAGGATAGTAGCTTTAAGAATAATTTATTTTGGTCAATATCCTCTCTATCGACTTGCTGAAAGAGCTCTCAAGCTTGGAATATTTCTTTTATTGTCTAATAGAGCAACAAAGGATGACGTTTTGAGATCGCCAAAAAGTCTATAGGATCACATAGTAGTGCTTCATCTTAACTTATTGTTGCATCGTATTTATTGATCACGGAAAATACTCTTGTTCACGATTATCGAAGCTAACTTTCTCTTTCAGTTTGAATTCTTCTATCAGCTCTTTTAATTGAAAGCAACAATAGTTTTCTCTGTTTCAGTAAATGTGACCAGTCAATTTTTTTTCCTTTTAACAGCAGTTTTTTTCTTTCACAGGTTGCTTTGCTGTGGATTTGCTTATTCTACTAAAGAGAATCTCGCATCAATTCATGCTTCGCCTACTTTTCTTTGTATTGTTTCAAAATTAGTCTGCATCTTTTATCAATTGACGTCTGTTGCCTTGTGATATTTTACGTTTCAGCAGATAACTCGGTTTTTGTTCTAAGTGATGGTTTAGATTTCAATCGGACATTGGTACATTATAATTTTTACTTGAGGACACAGTATGAATTTGGAAGTACTTGCAGCATGCATTCGAGAGTCTTCAGTGAAATATTAGACGTCTGTCTTTGAACCTGAGGTAGCGTACTCTGAGAAATCAAATCTCTAATATGTATTTTGTGGTTATCAACAGGATGAACTTGCTATCAGACAGCCGTATACACAAGATCACAAATAAAATTTATTTGAAGCCACAAAACCTATCACTAATCATTCATTCATTCCTTCATCTTTGTAGCTATCATTTTCTAGCATATTCTCGTCACAGTCCTCCGAAAGACGAAGTGACTCCAGTATTCCTTTTCCGTGGAAAACTCCATGCCAGAAAAGTTTAGCTTCTTGAAGATTTTTCTTCATTATGCCAGAAACACCCCCTTCAAATCTTCTTTTGATCATTTCCAAAGTACAACCGCCTGTTTCTGGCATTACTAAAAACAAGGATAACCAAAAGAGACAAGAAAGTCCTGCGTATAACCCAAAAGTCCCTGATAAAGTCATGGCAGCCTTTTGCCTTGAAAACGTGTAGGTTGATGCAAATGCTGAACCAAGCAGCATAAAAGCTCCCCACGACATACCATAATTTCTCACGTGCAATTCGTACATTTCTCCATTAATAGCCCAAGCTAAAGGCGAAATTCCCTGCTCATATCCAATATAGTAAAAGGCAAGACCAATAAAGAATCCAGCCGCTTTGCCCTTCAAGTTGCTGCTCAGAATTGAAGTACCAGATATTATAAGGCCGATTATAAATATAGGGAATGTAGCCATCATGATAGGTCTTCTACCATACCTATCAAATAGCAAATATGGAGGTAAGGTCCATACAAGCATCCAAAATCCTATGGGAAGTGTAGTGTAAACCGCCTGAATTCGTGTAAGTCCAAGATCCGTGAAAATTGAAGGTTCATAATATCCAAGTGCCGTTGCACCGTTCCATTGTTGAGCGAAGGAGAGTAAGGCACCAAGTATAAATGTGGCACGAACAGAGGGATTAAACAGAATCTCCTTCAGGACTCCAACTGTGCTCCGCTTCAGTGCAAGCTCTTCATCCAATTGTTGAACCATCTCTTCATATTCCCTATTAGAAATGAGTGTCGGTCTACGATATTTTCTCCAGGATTTCTGCGCTGCATCAGATCTGCCCCACTTCAGGAGCATTCGTGGGCTTTCAGGAAAGAAGAAAACGCACACGAACTGGATTGCTGGTCCAATGAAGCCAGCTCCAACCATGTACCTCCAAGACCCAGGGTGAACATTCACAAAGATGGCGTCAACAATATCTCCTGCGAAGACTCCAACATTATAGAGTGAATTGAAAATATTCAGATGTGCACCTCGGTGAGACTTTGGAACTACTTCTGAGATATAGATAGGGATTGTCATTGCTTCAATGCCCATTCCAATACCCATAATAAGCCTCCCTGCGAAAAATAGCCCAAAGTTTTGAGATGCAGTGGCCATGATGACTCCAGCTATATAAAATGCTGAAGAAATTAAGAGTACAATCTTCCTTCCTACCAATGCGTTAGAAGGAATGGCTCTACCAAGGAACGCTTAGTATTCTTCTCCCAAAACAAAAAGACTTTTCTTACATCAATGCCCCGCCTGCCGCACCCAAGGTAGCTGCAGACGATATCCAAGACCAGTCATGCGGGCTCAAGTTTAGGTCTGGAACGGCAAACAGCTCCACGGACGAAAGAAGGGCCTGGTCCATTCCAAACATACTCGAACCAATACAGGCCACGAATAGAAAGAACTTGAGAGTAAAAGTCACTCCTTCATCTTTAGGGTCTGACGAAAATTTCTCATTGTTATCACTTTCTACGTTGGTTTCAAAGGCTTCTTGCTCTTTCCTCGGCGACTCGCTTGCTTCCATCGTCAGAATCAAAATCACAATTTCTTCTACAGAATGTGGGTGACGAACGAGCTCATTTATAATGCCTTCTCGAGCAAATGTCCAATTGACGTCTGTCTTGTTCGCTAACCTGATTGGTCCATCAGAAGAACAAGAGAGGGCCCCAAAAATGTAATCTGTCGATTGGAATGAGGGACGGTTTTTTTCTACACACAAATTGGATTGAAGCTCAATGAGGAATGGATTTTTTCTCCACGCACATTGGATCAAAGCTCAACAACACATTATATGAGACCCTATTGAATAGGAACTAGGTTGTATTCATCAAAAGTTCTTATTATGTTAATAACTCAATTCCAGAATGTCAAACAAACATCGTTAGACCCCAGCTTGCCCAGACAACGTCTATAGTAACCAAAAATAATACACACGGTAAACTTTGAGGAATATGGCTTCTTCAGTCTAACCGTGAATAGAGCTATCCCAACTGCGTTTCCAAGCGAAGCCATTTTTCAAGGTAGAATTGTTTTCAATCTACTCCGGAATACAAAGAATCAACTTGTTCACTTACTGAAAAGAGCTCAGAGTTCTTTCAATCCCAACTAAGGACAGAAGCTTCCCTTTATTTAGCTCGATGTGTCACCATGAACAAGGCATTTTCGAAAAGGACCGATCTTAGTGGTTCGTTCCTTTTATATAAAAACAGGAGTTCTTCAACTTAAGTACGGCCCTTCTGCTGCAAGAAAATCTAGAATAATCACGAAAACGTTGGAGTCCTTGTGGTAAAATAGGGAATCTTTCCTTGAACCTCTTATAAACTTTATACGATTGTTAAGTATATAAAGATAATATTGTGTAATAACTGCAAGTTTGCTGTAAGTTTGTCCTCCTCACTTTGCCTAGGTTGCCTGCTTATAGACAAAGGGTGGAGGTTGAACTGCGCTTTCCTTATGCACAGTGTTTTGGCTAGTCTTTGATCAACTTCACCTTCCCATACTAAATTACCAAAGAAGACTCTTGCTATTATATAACAGTTCAATCACTGAGGAAGTTCTTACGAACGATGTTCGTAAACCCTGACGTGTGCAATCTCAGTGAGATTGCAATTGATGGGAGCCGGAATCCAATTTACGAAGTTTGTGGGATTGATTCAGGAAGCATCGGAGATTTACCCAGCTGCTTGGGACGGACTCAGTTTCTCGTCTCAATGCAAACTAACTGTAAATTTGATCTTTAACATTTCTCAAACAAAGGGAAGGAAGGAAGAATTGTTAGGTATTTCTGGTAGAAATGTGTGAGTCAGAATATTACTTGTACTTCCTAACTCTATTATTATAGTTTGGCCACAGTAGAAGGATATGAGGATAACGAAAAAAAGAAACAACTTTAGTGTTATTAGAATATCACAATGAGCAAGGGGACTAGTTATAGCCATGATTCACTCGGACAAGTGTATAACCTTAGAAATGCCGAGCAAGGGATTTATTCTCCGTTTCTTGAAACAGGAAACAAAATTTCAATCATAAAAATGGTTGAAAGGAAAATCTACCTATATTCTTTGTAAAACATTCATCTAGCACATAATTAACAACTCGGAAGAAATTGTTGTTAGGAATTACATGGTAGAGCTGAGTTCTGTGAGTAACTTTACTTGAATGTTCGTTTTATACCAAATACAAATGCCTCAAAGCTTACTTGTTACTGGCACATAAGTCGGACATCCACAAAGTAGAATAAGACTTGTTGTTGTCCATGCTACCTTATTGACGTCATTGAAGTTGTGCATGTACTTTTCTGTTTTCTAGTGGACTTGATACTTTAAGAATAATATAGCAAAACTAGCCGTACACCATAGCATTTTCAAGCAAGGAGTGGGCTTCGCATTAAGTTGGCTATATGACATTCTATTCCAGATTTTTACATCAGTAAGCACCTTTACAGATTTTCCACACGCAGGATGCGAAACAAGCGATGAAGATACGAGTTGTGACAAAATTACATAAGCATGCTATCTCTCGGCCAGTTTATGCAAAAATTTAAGGGTGACTTTTATCTAAACACAAGTAATATGCTTTGGTTGAACTCAGGTACTTAAAGCTCTAAAATAGCCGAATGAGCAACTAATGGGCATTTGCTAGTCTCAGGGAGAAGGAACATAAATCAACTGCTGTAACAAGTCAGAGAATCACAGCAGAGAGCTGAAAGTCTCTGTCCCGATTTATTCAAAGCTGCTCACAAGTGGCTTCTTGTTTTGTCCTTTCCATGGGATTTCATATCAAACCTAACTACAGCTGACCTCGTATATAGCTTTTTATTGGCTTACTTTTCTCTATCTCGCAATCACCTCGTTGCGTTTAAAAACATAATACCGTACACAGTATATTTCGTTTTGAATCGGTTTGCTGAAGTTATTTTATACGATTTGGCTTGTCTTGTGTGCCTTTTAATGGGATCCTCTTCGATTGATATGCTGTTTCCTCGAGTACCAATGAAATTGTTTAAGAACAGTTTTGTCGATCTCCACCAAGGTTTCTTCTTTGATTAGACTGGGGTTCAAAGGATTCCAAGAACTGAAACAATTTATCTAAAAATGAGATATAACTTGTAACTCGCTTCAAAGTCATCAAAAAGGGCCTCAAGTAACATTGCTGACTGTATGGAGAGAAATAGCGCCACTTTGAATAAGAACTAAACACATTTTATATTTAGCTATATGAAGAAAAAATGGGCAATGAAGAGTAGTTCGCTATACTGAGGCTAGAAATTTTCTTAATTATTACAGAGATAATACTGCCATATGTATATATATATATATATATATATATTTCTTTTCAATTTAAAACCTTCCGCTAGCTTGACTTTAAAGCCTGAAACATATTATGATTAAATCATTTCTAGAAATACCATAAGGATCAAATTATATCAGCGCTTGTATAACAAATGTAGTATAATTTCCCGCCGAGAACATAACATAAATTTTTGGACCCACAATTCAAATTTGCTATGATCGGATGTGACAGCCGGAGTAAAGCGCTTGGCAGTCTTCAAGACTATCTTCATGGTATTGAGTCCGATACTGCTACACTTTTGTCTTGTACAGAAAATACGCGTGGTGTTTATTCTGAAGTCTCAAGTTCAGAAGCTTTTGCAAGGGCCAACCAGTTTGTGAACGAGTCGCAGGCCCTCTATTTAAAGCTTTCTAGCATGTTTAATCTCGTGAGAGAAACACCCACAATAGAGAAAACTATTCAGGAGGGATACATTTATTTGCAGAAACAGCAAGAGAGATTGCACTTGCTCTTGGAATCGCAAGGTATGGAGGACCTCTTACCCAACGAATACAGTGGAGACGACAATGAGAGGTCGGCCACAAGAAATTTCGGCTGCTCTGAAGAAAAGGCAGGAAGATTTTCAGCACACAAGAGCGAAAAGTCGCGTTCTAGTCTAGATGAATGGGAAGCACCAACTTTAGAACAGATAGGGCTTTCAGAGACTTCTCTTGAAGCACTCAAAACACTAAATGTGGCATCTCCAAATCCTAAGGCAGGTTTTGCCACTCCACCATATTCACGTGGACTTCGACAAGAGCTTCCTGAACTTCAAGAATCTTACAATTATCCTTCTCGATTTTCAGTAACTTCCAGAGAAGCAAGAATAAGAGAATGGGAATTTGAGAAACACGTTGCACCCTTTGTAAGACATAGTATTTCTGTTACAGAAATATCTGAGAAACTTTCTTTGTTGCTTGAAGCATCTGCTGCTAGAAATTCAAAACGATTTACTCAGTCTCAGTTAGCACAGATCTTTCATGCCTCAAGCAGCAAGCTTAAGCTGTATTGCCTTGCTCTTGTTCAACTAAAGTATCTTCGTATAGAAGGCGATGACTTGATTTTAGTAGAGAGTTAGTAGTGAAAGCCTTCTATAGTGTTCTGAATAAATTTTTGAGGAATGTAATTTTAAGTTCCTCGAAGAACGACTAGAAGGAAACATTGAATTCCTTTCACTTACGCGTGAAACGAATGCCAATCATATTGCAGGAAGGCGATGTCCTTGTGAACCTCCAACAATGAATATAAAATATATACATGTGATTGTTGAGAACCATTGTTCAGTATAGCTTTGCGCGATTACATGGAACGAAAGAAAGACCAAAATATGCTTCACTACTGCTCTTTTTTTGAAGAGCTCTCTTCCCATTAAGAACATTTTTGTAGCAACTAGTCCTCAGGACTTGACTTTGAAAGAATTTGAACTATCAGCCATTTCAAGTAGTCAAAAGCATGAAGAGCGTAACAAATTTCGATAAGTGGTTTATTCAACATGATTTCAGAAACTTTAATAACAATAAAGCTAAACTAGCACAAAGTGGCTAATACCATGCTACAGAACTCTGTCTGCTGATGAAACTCAATGCATTATGGAAAATGGCAACTTTCAGGCAGTAAATTAGGATAGTTCTCCATCTGACAACCGTAATCATTTGTGGGGAGCACGGATGAAGTAGAATTATACCAATAGAATAACACTATACAAATATATACCAAAGTTCACAGCATTGAACACTATCCACATATTCTTCATCCCTATTCCATTCACATCTAGCAACTGCCATATTCAAGTGACCGAACTACTCGTGGACCCGGTTTGCTTCCACTATTAAAATTCAACTTAACATCGAGAACCTTTCCTGACCCCTTTTTTAGTGCTAGATTTCGACAGATTTGGCTTTTTTATTTCTGAGACTTCTGCGCAGCCTTTGCTGGTTTTCTTCGTCCTTTGAACCTTTGAGGGTCCCTTCCGACCCTTCTTCCTAGAGAGCTTCGAAGAAAGTGTTCTCTGTATCAGGATGTTTTCCCTCTCATACGGATTTCGCAGTTTGATAAGTCTTCTTCCGGAAAGAATCTGCCTCGTTTCTTTTTTCGAACCTTCAGTTTTCTCCCACGGTGTTCGACAATATACACAAGTCACTTCCTGGCCAGCTTCAACCTTTGAACAGGACCATTTGTCAAAGCAATCTTTATGTACTGCATTGCCACAACCCCATTTACAATAAAGAATGGGTTCCGCACCTTCTTCTGTTGAAAAGTTTTCAAAACATATAGGACACTCCGTGTTCTCCTCTCTTCGAGGAACTGGAGGCTTCCTTAGCGACGAAAAAGAGCCATCAAGGTCACCAACAATCGACTTGAAGTCTTCCACAGTATTTTGTGGAGCAATATATTGTGTATCAACGAGGAGAGTAACGTTTCTGAGATAGCGTTGTAACTCTGACTCGCTTCCACAACTACTACAGAACTTTTCAATTTGTTCCTCAGGAACCTTAAGGATTCGCAACAATACAAAGATAACGTGTTTACACAAAGTCTTCCTAAAAGAACGGTTAACAACTAGTAAATGAGGCTATGACGAATTCCGAACCTCACTCTATGGTCTATACAGTTACATTTTGGACAGCCACTTTGAAACCAAACTGTATAAACATTCCCTGTTGAACCTAGTATAGCAAAACTAGGACTTCCTACTTCACTATTAGTTACTGCCAACAAATAAAGCCTCTGCTTCTTGGCACGTTCGAGTCTTGGACGAATCATACAATGGCTTGAGTGAATGGGAAACAACTAAAACCATAATATGTCAACATACTTGTGGCGAAGATATAAGCTGAATGAAGCAAGGCAGTTTGTTTGGTTTGCAATGTTCAGCTGTATGACTGAAGTAAAAGCGAGTTTATGTTTATTCTAGACTCTAAGAATAGACAGTCCGTACTTGTAATTTTTTTTGCGAGCTGCCGAACATACCCAAATATTTCCTTAGTAGAAGAGTTTTAGTTGTCTCCGAAACTTTGAGAATCATCCTCCTTTCAAAATAAAGATTTTTAGGATAAACAACGTGTTCCTATTCATTGTGTGAGCCTCTCCAGAAATATAGTCATCACGACCTGAACGTGCACTGTGAAGTTAAACTAGTCGAATATCACCACAAGTACTCGGAAAACAAGATTGAACTACTAAACTTCAAATCAAGCAGACTCCCTCAAGTCAGTCACCTTACTCGACTGCTGGAATGAGCAGAGAAACTGAAAATATTCTTTATCAAGAGTCCAGGATCATACACCCTTTACGTTTGGTAAGAAAACATAATTGTCCATATCTTTGAGAAGACAAACGGCTAGCTCGGAAATATAAGATAATTCAAGAGTACAGCACGTAGAAAGTCTTTCCCGGAGAGATATTAAAGCTTTTCTCAAAGCGACAGTGGTTACAGATGTATCATTCCCTTGTTTGAGAGTTCTTGGGAAGTTCAGCTCCTCAAAAGCGTCCCGTTCAAGAATTGAAAGTGTTTCATACTTCAGCAAACACTGAAAGACATCCTGTATTTCCAAACATATGGCAGATGACAACGGGTAACTACCTCCATTCAGTCTTTCTTCTACCAGTGTTTCTATTAGTCTCAAAGTATTATTGAGAATATTTAGTTTGGTTTCCTGAATCACTGAACACTTCGTATATGGAAGAGATAACGGGTACATCTTATTGCGAGACTGATTTTGAATCCACTTCAGCAACGAAATTCGACAAGCGTGACGGAATCTCAAATGGCTTTGATCTTCATAAAATGCACTATTGAACCCTGTTCGAAGCAGGCTAATAGTCTTCTTCCAACTTATTTCGGTCAAGAGTTCTTCATAAACCAACAAACGGCTTGCCAATAGATCAACAAGAACGATGTCATAAGATTCCTTTCTCCACTCAATTTCGTACTCTGACGATGGTTGTGCAGTATAATATCCTTCAGTTGTTTCGCTTCCTTTCTTCTTAATGCTGATAAAGTTTTCCGCCATTCCGACAATTCTGTCAAACAGCTGCAAGTCCAAGTCCTTGAAAGAAAAGTCCTTCAAAACACAAGACTTGACAACAACAACAAGGGCCTTCAAACTATCCAATGCCAATGCGCTCTTCGATAGATCCTCGAAAGAATATTGTTCAATACAAGGCAATAACAATTCTACAAATGCTCCGATGTACAATACTCGCGGTTTCACAGGAATGGAATCCTTTTGAAATGTATTTTCAATTGCTTCTAAAGAAAGTCGCACCTTTGTAGAATATTCAAAATGGTCCATTCTGGTCTCCAGACAATGCCGACAGAGGTTTAGTAATTCCTCGAAGAGTACATTCCAGCAGTCACTTTCATTATCAAAACTCGCTTCACGAAAAAAATCTATGGCTGAAATAAAAAGCTCTTCATTCTTTAAACCATTGAGAGAACAAGTCGGATACATCACCATGTCAAATAATATCTTTGCTTGGAAAGGCACGAATGAATGTCTCGAATTCCTCAATAAGTTCTTCAATCCATTCATCAATGTTAGAAACGAAGGCACATTGGCTTCGTCTATTTCATATTTATCATTTCGTGGAATGTATTGCTCGATAATTTTCCAAAAACGCTCCCAAAACATGATTTCTAAACTTCTTTCCTGTCCATTTATAACATCTTGAACAATCGCTTCTGAAAAGAGACATGATTTCTTGAGCTATCCTATATGGATATTCATAAAGAAAACACAAACCTTGGTCACAAAAGCAGTCAAAGACAGACATCATCATATCCACTCCAGCCTTGCAGAGCTCTGTCCTTGGATTGTTTAAACAGCGCAAAACAAACTGTACAACTTGGGACCAGAATTCAATTATGTCCTCTTCATCAAGAACAAAACTACCCCAGAATTGATAAAAAAGTTTCACTATGCCTTCTAGAAAAATGATTCTACTCTCATCCCACTGCTTTTCCATCGTATTTCTGCTGTGGTGAATTCTTATATTTGTATCAAGCTTACTTGATTCTGAATATTCATTATGGTTATCTTCAAACAAAAAATAACAAGTAGGAATCAGAAAAGTTTGACAGACCTGCTTCCAAAAGCCTGGAAATTGTTTACTTGCTGCAACCTTTACCACATCAATAATCATTCGTAAAGTTGAATTCCTTATTTCAGGACGTCCATCTCGGGTAAGAACGCAAATTTCAGTCATGATTGAAGCAAGGTGACTATAATACAACTCAAGTTGTCGCGTGTCGTAGACCAACTTGCTTTTATCAATCTCAGTTTCTCTCCAATGTCTTGAAACAGAGTCAATAGTATTCCATATATATCCTAGGCAAGTCAAAGATAAATTCAAGTCCTTCAAACTTTGAATACAACGACACAAAATCTTTGACCACAAATGCAAGCATTCCGTGTCATAGGGCATACATGATATAAAATCTTTCGATAATATAGTGATTAGGCGAAAGATTATAAGTTGGAAATCTTCCTTCATTGGAATCTCGTACAACATCTCCAAAAGAGTGTTCCAGGAGTGCACAGAATCCAGAATATGTGAATAACTCTGCAGAATGTCTGTGATGGCTTGTAAAACGCGATCAAACACAACAATATTCTCCAAAACAATCATAGAGCGAAATAATTCTAACAAGAATGGATCAGTGCAATGAAAATAAGCATCAATGTCGGCATCTGCAATCATGAGATGGATAACTTTGACGATAATATTTACGCCCGTTATTTGAATTTCATCAGGAACTGAATTATCTGTCATCAAATTACCAGCAAATTCGGCGCAAGTCGATAATAAAAACTTCTTCAGAGACGTATCCACTCTTTCTAAACATTCTCCCAACCATAAAAGACGCTGAAGAAATATTTGATCCATTCGGGGCTTTTTCTTAAGTGATAACTCAGTATAAGT